TATTGTTTTGTGGAAAAACCTTTGTTTATAGAGCCTACCACTTGGTCTTCACCTGTTACACCACCTTTGTTGATCTGTACAGCTGGTTCTTTTATGTCAGAAACTGATCATACATGCAAGCAGATGGAGTACCGAAAGGCCTGGCGGCTCTCAGGGTTAAGACGGTCATCTAAGCAGCCCAAATAATGCTTCTTTACTCCCCACCTGTGTTTGTTGTGCGTGTTAGTGGGACTGAATTCAGGGGCCCGTGCATGAATTCTACCACTGAGCTACATCCTCAGCTCTTGATGCCATTATGAGTTTGAAAATCATTGCAATGCCTTTAGTTTGAAAACACTGCAATATTCTACTGAAGGGCATTGTCTAATCCATACTTTGAAAACATTTAATTAGGGAAGAAATGAAATCATTGTCCTTAATAATGAGAGGGAGAAGGGCCAGGTGAATAATGCATTGAGTTGAACCAGGAGTAAAAGGCTGTCTCACTTAGAAACTCATCAGAATACCCAGACTAAGCAGAGGAAACCCTACAGACCAGGAAGGCGTGGCATGGCATGGCATGATATATGATATAATATCTAGAGGAATAACCAAGATGATTAGACCTGGCTATGTTATCTGCTGGTGCTGATGGATTTGTGAAGACCTCATAGGACAAATGCACTTAATTCACAACCACAGAACCAGCATTAGAGGAGGAAATGGAAGGGACTCCATAAATACTTATGATTTCTTTTTTTTTTTTTTTTTGGTTTTTCGAGACAAGGTTTCTCTGTATTGTTTGGAGGCTGTCCTGGAACTCGCTCTGTAGACCAGACTGGCCTCGAGCTCACAGAGATCTGCCTGCCTCTGCCTCCCGAGTGCTGGGATTAAAGGCGTGAGCCACCAATGCCTGGCCACACTTATCATTTCTTAAAAAACATGAAGGCTGTGTATGATAAACCTATATCCAATTAAGTGGGAGGGAAACTAAAATCATTTCCTCTAAATTCAGGAAGGAGTAAAAGGTGCCCATTCTTTCCAGTTGTACTGGCTGGTTTTGTGTCAATTTGACACAAGCTGGAGTCATCAGAGGAAGGAGCCTCAGCTGAGGAAATGCTTTCATAAGATCCAGCTGTAAGGCATTTTCTCATTTAGTGATCGGTGGGGGAGAGCCCAGCCCATGGTAGGTGGTGCCATCCCTGGACTGTTGGTCCTGGGTTCTATAAGAAAGCAGGCTGAGGGCTGAGAGATGGCTCAGCCGTTAAAGGCTAGGCTCACAACCAAAAATATAAGAAAGCAGGCTGAGCAAGCCATGGGGAGCAAGTCAGTAAGCAGCTCCCCTCCACGGCCTCTGCATCAGCTCCTGTCTCTAGGATCCCGCCTTGTCTGAGTTCCTGTCCTGACTTCCTTTAGTGATGAACAGCAAGGCTCAAGTATAAGCCCAATTAACCCTTTCCTCCCTGTTTTGCTTTTTTTTTTGGTTATGGTGTTTCATCACAGCACTAGAAACTCTGAGACACCAGCTTTATTCAGTAGAGTATTGGAATTATTCACTAGAAGGCAAGAGAAAGAAATGAAAGAGCTACAACAGGAGAGGGAGAACTGAAATTATCCCTGTCCGCAGATAATATGAGCCTATACTTAAAAGACCTTGAAGACTGGGGGCCAGAGAGATGGTTCAATGGTTAAGAACACCGAATGCTCTTCCAGAGGACTTGGATTCAATTCCCAGCACCCACATGGCAGCCAAGATCTGACACTCTCACACAGACATACATGCAGACAAAACATCAATGCAATAAAATAATATAAAGACCTTGGAGACTCCACTTTTAGGAGAATGTCATGATACAAAATCAATACATCTAAACCATTGGGGGAGCAGTGAGATGGCTCAGTAGGCAAAGGTGCTTGCTGCCAAGCCTGACAACCTGCATTCGATCCCCAGAATCTACATGATGAAAAGACAGAACTGATTTCTGCAAGTTGTGTTCTGATCTCCATAGGTGTGTCAAGGAGCACGTGCTCCCTGCCCCCCCTCTCTCACACACAGAGTAAACACAGAAGATTAAAACAACAACAAAACCCTAAACCAGCTACAAAATACCATTAGCTCACTTTCTTTCATTTTTTAAAAATGTGCGTTTAGTAGATAGCACACAGAGAAAGGTTTCTGGGAGACAATCTCACTAATAACAAATGACACAAGGCAAATAAAAAAATCCCCAGGAATAAGCCCAAGTGAGGTGACACAGGACCCTGTGAATGAAAAACTCTAAAACACTATAGAAGAAATCCAGACCATTCTAGAAGACAGGCATCCCAGGTTCATGGATTGGCAGGATATTGTGGAAATGGCTACACCACTGAAAATGATCTACTGACTCAATCCAGTTCCCAGAACAACTCTGCTGACATTCTTCACAGAGATGTAAAGACAGTCCTAATGTTTACTGGGGGGTACAGAAGAATCCTGAGGAGAAAGCAATGCTGGAAGTATAGCATGGCTTTGAGCTACAATTACTAACAGCATAGTTCTCACACAAAGGCAGACACCAAGATCAACACAACATAATAGAGAACTCAGAAATAAACCTGCATAGCTACAGTCATCTGATTTTTGACAAACATGTCCAAACATTCAACAAATGGTGCAGGGAAAAAGTGAACACCCAACACATAGAAAAATCAACTGAAAAACTGATCAAAGACCTGAAACTTTTGATACCAATAAAAGAAAACAAATCCTCAAGATATAGGCATAGGCAAGGACTTTAGGAACAGGGATCCAGTAACCTCAGAAATAGCAGGATTGGCAGTTGGAAAAAGTTTAAAAGTACAAAATTAAAAATCTGTTCAGTGCCGGGCAGTGGTGGCACACGCCTTTAATCCCAGCACTCGGGAGGCAGAGGCAGGCGGATCTCTGTGAGTTCGAGGCCAGGCTGGACTGATAGCCTCCAAAACAATCCAGAGAAACCCTGTCTCGTAAAAACCAAAAAAAAAATCTGTTCAGCAAAGGAAGCAGTTACCAGGGTAAGAAACAGACTACAGCATGGTAGAAAAGCTTTGCTAGCTACTTATCTGACTGCAGAATAATATCTAGCATATAAAAAACTAAACATAAATATCAACTCTCCCCCAAGTAATCTAATCAATAAATGGGCAAACAAAATGAGCAGACATGTCTCTAGAGTAGCATGAATGGCCAATAAGTCATACGAAGAAATGTTCAGCATCCTTAGCTTTCACGGACATGCAGATCATAGCTACATGGACATTCAGTTTCAATCCTCACCCTGAATTTCATGAAGAAAAGAAACAACTATGGTGGCAAAGATCCAGCCAAAAGGGAAACCTTGAGCGCTGCCTGTGAGTGTGTAAATTGGCACAGCCGTTACATGTGAAAGCCTGATGACCTGAGTTAGAACCCCAGAACCCACAGGATACAATGGTAAGCATCTGTAATCCCAGCACTCCTACAGGGAGTTGGGAGATAGACACAGAATTGCCTGCTAGCCCAGAGTATGCAGTACTGTAGAAAAAGAGAGGTCCTGCCTCTAAACTGACTCCCGAGTGGTCCTCTAGTCTCCACATGTCTGCCGTAGCAGGCTGGTGCCTGAACTCTCTCACACAGGGAACAAAATTTTAAAATGAACAAACATAGAATTACTGCAAAAAAAAGTCTTGGCTATGTCACTTCTAGGTATATTCCCAAAGGAATCTAAGTTGGTACACAGCAGAGGTACGTGCACACCCATTTTTTTTAGCACTATTCACAACAGCCAAGTTATGGAATCAGTAAACAGATGAACAGATAAAGATAATACAGTAGACACAGGCATGGAACAATATTCAGCCATTAAAAGAATGAAATGAGATCATTTATAGGAAAATGCATGGGCCTGGAGATCATGTTAAGTGAAGCAAGCCAATCTCAGAAAGAGAAGTATGTTTTTTTTTCTCATATGCAGAATCAGACTTAAGATTTATTTATTTTTATCATTTTTAACTGTGCGTCGGTGTATGTGTCTGCATGTGGGTATATGCAAACGAGCACAGTGCCCCAGAAGAATACGATCTCCTGAAATTGAAGTTACAGGCAGTTGTGAATCACCTATGAGGTGCTGGGACCAAACTCAGGTCCTCTCCAGCCAATGTTAAGAGCTGAGCCATCTCTCCAGCTTCCCCCAACTTGCCCCAAATTATGATCTAAAGTGGGGGAGAACTACTTCAGAGAAAGAAGGGGACCAGTGGAAAGGGAAAGGGACAAACAGGAGCATGCAGCAGGTTTAAGATCACAGTGGGTGCTTTAAGAGCCCTGACTGCTGTTTCTGAGGGCCTGGGTCCAACCATCTGTAGCTGCCAGTTCCAGTTGACTCAATGCCCTCTTCTGGCCTCTGTGGACACCCAGGCACTTGGTTGCTGAGTCAGGAGGATTGTTAATTTTAGAGAAGCATGGTCTACACAGAGTGTCTCAAAAGTAAAATAAGAACCATATTTACTTATCAACACAGCAGTGTTTCCTTTTTAAATTGGCAAGTGAAATTCTATGTATTTGTGGTTTACGACGTGTTTACATGAGTGTGATCTGTAAAATAGAATTAAGTTTTCTGTTTTAGGAAGGGGCTCATGACAGTCATACCAAAGGGCCGGCATTAAAAAACAAAAACAAAAACAAAAAACAAAAACAAAAACATCACGCGGAACCTTCGTGCTGCATCGTCCTTTGTTTCCGTCCTAAGGGCAGGGAAGCATTAGGGTAGTGCATGCTGCCGGGCGCTGGGGCTCGAGTCTGCAGACTTCGGAGGAGTCTGTTCCCTACTCCAGAGGCTTCTGGAAGCCTCTTCCTCAGTGATACACAGAAGGAAGGGTGTGGCATTTCAGACAAGCTCTACCCAGTAGCGAGCATTCCTCAGAAGGTATTATAGTGGTCAAACAGAACACCGCAACGTACTAGGAACAGCGGATGGGAAGAAGGGGCACGGCTCCAGGCAGAGCGCACGCGTGCGACCGTCCAATCCAGCATCTAGGGGCGGGGCTGGGTCGGCAGGCAGGGCTTGGGAGATAGGTGGAGCCGAGCCCACATTCTCCAATGGAGTGGAGGCAGAGGCGGGCCCAGTGGCAGAAGGAGCATGGCGTGGAGACAGATGAGAGTGAGTCTGCTGCGGGACCTCACGCATGTTCGGAAATCAGGCTGGGAGTGGATGAGGCTGGGAGATTGAAAGGCTGGGGGCCCTTGCAGTGTGGGCTGCACGTGTACTCAGCTAGGGGCGTGCAGAAAGCAAGCGTGCTGGGCAGAGGCTGAGCGTGAGCGATCGCGGGCATTTTTTTTTTTTTTAATTGAGCTAGTATCGGGCCTCTGGGAGCACATGGTGGTCTAGCATAATGGAAAGAATCCAAGGCGGAATGAGATAAGACTTGCGACCACTCTTCCAGATCAAGTGTGGTTAGAATGGGAGCCCTGTGCGAAGAGTCCTTAGATTGTGTCCCTGGTTTGGGAAAGAGTGCGCAGATATTGTTGCTTGACACGTGAGAATTTCTCCCTCCAGAGGAGGGAGAATGAATACTTGGTTTGCTGTGCAGGCAAATCTGGTCACATCCTCTACTTCCTTGTTTAGTGGACAAATCCCATTAAAAATTATAATTATGAGCCGGGCGTTGGTGGCGCACGCTTTTAATCCCAGCACTCGGGAGGCAGAGGCAGGTGGATCTCTGAGTTCGAGACCAGCCTGGACTACCAAGCGAGTTCCAGGACAACCTCCAAAGCCACAGAGAAACCCTGTCTCGAAAAACCAAAAGAAAAAAAAATATATATATATATATAATTATGTGTAGGTGTGTGTGTTTCAGGGGGCGAGTGCAGGTGCTCTCTGAGACCACATGTGTTGGAGCCCTTGAAGCTGGAGTTACAGACGGTTGTGGTGAGCGGTTGTGGCCCTGACATGGGAGCTGGAACCGAACTCTGCACTAAACCACTAAGCCATCTCCAGCCACCAAATCTGTATTTTGACTGACACCTCACATTTTTCCTACCTCACTCTAAGAAATGCTTTCCTTTTAGTTCCAACAGACGTCTGCCCCTACCCCATTCTCTGGCCCTTCTCATTGGTGTCAGCCACCTAGAGATCCCTTCTCCAGCTGCTTCTTCCTCTTTTAGCTTTCCTGTCTCCTTTGAAAGTCAGCTTAAGCTTGCTTCCTCAAGATCCTTCCATTATGTATTCCTTCATGTGAGTTTTCCTTGCTCCCATGTTTACATGACCATTATGAAGGATAGGGACCAGGTCTGGTTTGCTGGCCTTTGGTGAAGGATTGAATGACTGCATTAGCCACTTGGTATCTGGTGGTGATAATTATCAAAAATCATCGTGAGCCACCTTTGAGCTGGGGTAGTGGTTATCTACCCAAAGTGTGAAGCTATGTTTATATTGCAGCCACTTTTATACACATAGGACATTTCAGGCCAGTAACCTTTCGAGGTATAATTTTAAAATATAAACACCATGCCCTAACTACAGTAAAAGGAGAAATGAAAACCTGTATTTCAGTATGTAGAAGTCTGAACACAGTTCACCTGCAAAGATGGTCAGGTGTTTAAGCCTCCTCTTAGAAGGTGTGCACTGGTATACAAACAGCCCAGTATACCCTTTCTGGTGGGATTTTAGGACCAGCGACTAAGTCTTGGTAATGTTTTGTGAAAACTTTACAGGTGTCCTTAAATTACAAGGTACCTGTATTTCTGTAAAAGTCACCCTGTATATGTGAACCATGTGGGGGGTAGTTGGTGGTTGTGTGGTGAACTATAGCTTGCCTCTTGGCTCAGATAATGGGAAGTTTTTTTTTTCTTAACCTACATAAATAGCAATAGCAAGTTCAAACATCATACAGCACAGAGGGAAACTACTGTGTTAGTTTAATTAAAGAAGAATATTGACAGGACTGATTTCTCCACAGCAAATCTGTTAGCATCATTCCCTCATTAACTAGAAAATATTTTCCCATGTGGCCCCTAGGGAGCAGTACTGCCTGCTTGAAAAGTTCCCTGGCTGGTCCTTAGGAAAGTATTCAGGGCTAGAACCCGTGTAAGCAGGACTGCATCTCCAAAGGCTGGTGTATAAGTAGGCAGGATATTAAGGGGGGGCCATGTGAGCAAGAAAGGACTGTCACGTGTAGCTCTTATGTTCTCTGGGGTGTGAAGGGTCAGAGAGGGTACCAAAGGCTGGTCTGATGGGGTTCCCCATGGGGCCTTTCTTCTCCCCCACTAGAAGCGGGCTCTGGACGCAGCCATCATCCTTGGGGGAGGAGGCCTTCTCTTCACCTCTTACCTGACAGCCATAGGCGATGACCATTTCTATGCTGAGTATCTGATGCCGGCCCTGCAGAGGCTGCTAGACCCAGAGTCGGCCCACCGGCTAGCTGTTCGCTTCACATCCCTGGGGCTCCTTCCTCGAGCTACGTTTCAAGACTCTGACATGCTGGTAGGTGCCCTGGGTCGCCCTGTGTTACATTTGGGTATTGGGGGGGGGGGGTCACATCCTTTAGCACATGCTTTGGTACTCTTGTGGCTTTGGAAAACCAGAGCTGCAGGCTTGCAAGCGGCTGGGACCTGGAGCCCAGCCTGAGGAAGTGACGCTTCTTCTGTGTTACACCTTGTACTTCCAGAACAGTACTCAGCACGTAGCCTGTGCTTACAACTTGAATCCTCACAGCTACCCTTTGAGGGAGGTCCCATCTCATCTCCAACTACAGATCAGGAGACTGAGGTGCAGGCTAAGTAAGTGACTTGCCCAAGGTCACGAAGCTGGCAGGTGGCAGGACCAGGATTCAAACCTATAGAGTCTGACTCCAGTGTCCAACCTTGGCCTGCCTTGCTGAGATCCCTCTGCTGAACAGGGACATCTTCTGGAGTCATTAAGCAGCTACTGGATGCAGGGGACAGTGTTAGCAGGGAAGGGCTGTCACTTGCAGATACTATATCCTCTGGGTAGGTGAAGGGTGCTACAGCCTGGACTGATGGGTCCGTCCTTCCCCCATCAGAAGCAGGCCCTGGGTGTAGTTATTGTCCTGAGGGGGTAGAGGACTTAAGTCCTAGGCAACCTCCTGCCCCAGCCACATTCAGCCACAACTCACTCCTGTGAACCACCTGGCACCATCTATGACAGAGCCAATTTGGCCCTTCTACTGTCTCTGAATGACCCCCTTTTTCTCTTGAAATGGGTCCATGCTGTCCAGGTTGGTCTCAAATTTGGGGTCTCAAATGATTCTGGAATCCAGCTTCTTGAGCAATCACACAGTATGCACCACTACGCGCAGTGGCCCTGTTCCCCGATAGTCAGGCCCGCTGATACTCTTAGCCTGCTTCACCTTCCTCGGTTTAGTCTTTGCTGTTCCCTGAGTCTTCAGTTCTCTATCACAAGACGCTCCTGGGAGGGTGGAGGTGCTTCTGGAATGCTTGGCTGCCCTGGTCTCCTGACTGACCAGTTTAACCATAGTCTCAGAGAAGCCTGACAGCAGCACCCCAGGCCCTGTCACACAGCCAGGGATGAGAACTGGCTTGATGGTAGCCTCAAGGAGGGCCTGTTCTTGCTGAACTTCTCGCCTCGTGGTTCTGAAGTACTCCGTGCACATTTTTACCTTCCTTGTGCTCTTTCTCGTCCCCCGTGGATTTCGAGAGCATGTGGCTTCCCCCTTGGGGACACTTTTCTGACCTCTTAAGAGCTCACTGGAGCCAGCGCCAGTGTCTGCCGATGTCCTCCCTCCAGCTCTCCATGGTTGACAGTTGTGGAGGATCGGCCCCCTGGGACTCCTATGCTAGGCTGGTTACAGGCTTTGCTTCATGGTACTCACTGGTGTCAGAGTAGCATGACCTCAAGTTTCTCCTGCCCAGGCTGAATAGATAAGAAGATACATAATCATTGTGCAAGACAGCACCTGTCTCCTCTTCGCTTGTGGTGGGACACTGCCTCTCTCTCCCCCCAGCCTTGAGACCCCCTGGTGTCTGGATTCAGAAGCACCTGCAGAATGCTGATTCAGAGAGATAACCCCAGGGTGTCCTTCCTCCCAAAGATCCCTATTTTCTGGGCCCAGAGATGCTTAGCAAGCTCCAGGGGAATCCTTATACAGGATGCTGGGATCCCTGCTGTGAGAAGCACTTGGTGAAGCCACTTTTACCTCTGAATTTGTCTCCTTCCCAGGAAGTGAGAGTCCTGGGCCACAAATTCCGAAATCCTGTAGGGATTGCTGCGGGATTTGACAAGCACGGGGAAGCTGTGGATGGCCTCTACAAGCTGGGCTTTGGGTTTGTTGAGGTAGGAAGTGTGACTCCCCAACCTCAGGAAGGAAACCCCAGACCCAGAGTGTTCCGCCTCCCGGAGGACCAGGCTGTCATTAACAGGTATGTGGTGGCTCAGAGGCACAGGGACATCTCCCCTGCTGGGATCTCTGAGATGGGAGACCCGCTTTGTGCTTTTTGCATGTGATGGGTGGACAGTCTGTCCTTTGGGATAGTCAGGAGCCTTTTTGAATCACTGTTGTGTACTAGGCAGCTTTCACCCCAACCTTGGAAAACGGCTGTCAGGATTTTACCCGGTGTTCCCGCTGAGGCTCTGAGAGCTGGTGCTGGTCGCGGAGAACAGCTTGGAAAGGCTTGGGCCGTTGGACTTCAGTGCGAGCTTTTTTACACTGCTGCTCCATTGCCCTTGTCCAGTGTTGGTTTACAGGACTATAGTGATCTCTAATGACTCATTAGAAGCTAGTGAACTTGGTAATACATTTATAACTACTATATTTGTCATTATTATGATTTAATTATAAACTGTGTGTTCTAAAGCCATTTTAACATGCAGTCAATATAAAAATCATTGGTTAACTATCATCCTCCTTTACTTCTGGTTTCTCTCATTTGGCCAGGGCTGGTGGCCACAAGCTGTCAGCTGAGTTGGTACTGCACAGGTGACCCTTGCTTTCAATGAACAAGGACGTGGTATTCAACATGTACAGCTGCCCTTAGCAGGAGAATCCTTCGACTGTATGAAGCCTTGCCATTTATTTGTCCTGTACAGTTAGTCTAACTGCGAAGGGAAGACCTTCGTACTTCTCGCTAGGAGATTTTTGGAGAGCCTCCTTGTGGGGATTTTGGCAGACCCATGGCAGTGCTTCCTATTGCTTGTTTCAGGAAACTTCTTTTCTTTCTTTATTTCTTTTTCTTTTTCTTTTTTTTTTTTTTTTTGGTTTTTTTGAGACAGGGTTTCTCTGTATTGTTTTGGAGGCTATCCTGGAACTCGCTCTGTAGACCAGGATGGCCTCGAACTCACAGAGATCCGCCTGCCTCTGTCTCCTGACTGCTGGGATTAAAGCCGTGTGCCACCAACTCCCGGCTTTCAGGAAACTTCTTCACAAGTCAGATCTCTCTGTTGCATTTCAGGCAGGGACTGATGTCTTTAGGACTGACCAGGCATAACACTTGTGTTTCTGATTTGGCTGTTACAGGTGACTTCGGGTCTTAGGATGATGGTGGTTGGGACAGGGAGTAGTGAGGGACAGGCACCTGTGCTCTTGGGCATAGCCTTCTTGCTCATGTATGTGGTGTGTGTTCAGTATAGGCATGCTAAAGGATGGGCATTTACTACACCAGCAGATCCACATGCCACAGTCCAGGCACTGTTGCTCTGGCTGCAAGCCACAAAGTGATGTAACCAGATCCCATTAGTTATCATTCTTGTCACTGGGACAAAATACTGACAAAAGGCAGATTAAGGAATGGGGGCAGGTGCTTTGGCTCAGTTTGAGGGGACAAGCCCTCCTGGTGGCAGGAGCCTGAGGCAGAGGGTCACTCTGCACCTACAGTGAGGAAGCAGCTAGTGAAGGATGCTGGTGCTCACTTGGGTCTCTTCCTCCTTGCTCAGTTGGGCCGTGAGCCCATGGTGCTGCCCATGATCTTGGTGGGTTTTCCCTGCTCCATTCAACCTTCCCAGAAACAGGCTTAAAGACACACACAGGTGTGTTTCCGTGGTGATTCTAAGTCATATCCAGTTGACAATGGAGCATAACCAGTGGTGAGAGCATTGAGATGGTCTTGGGTGCCTTTTCCAAACTGTCACCTTCTAATTCCACCCCTTCCCTGTGGGTTTATGTGTACCAGGTATGGATTCAACAGCCACGGGCTCTCAGCGGTGGAGCACAGGCTGCGGGCCAGACAGCAGAAGCAGACCAAACTCACTGCAGGTAAAGTTAGGTGTTGTGGGAGGGGCTTTCTTCCTCTACTACAAAGAAACATAGGGAGTGCATGTGCTTCAGTAATAGGAAACAAATGAACAAATAATAAAAACCATGCAAAACAACTCAGGATTGTCCACCTTCCACCACAGCCTCAAAGGTCTTAACCAGATGTCATAATTCAGCAAAGCCTTGCTGGTCTCCGGCACCCATGGAACCGGAACTGTGTCCTAATTTAGGGGCTTGGAGATCAGCAGAGAGCATGTGTGGAGCTAAGATGTGCCCCGATTGCATCTTCCCACATCCCGCCCTGTTGTCCTTCTGTTCACTGTGTAAGTAGTGGTGTTAGTTCTGGAAGAGCTACAGAAGAGAATAGAGTTGTCACACTCCTCTCCACTCAGGGGACCAGCTGTCCTCAGGCCTCACTTCAGAAACAGCCTTTGCTTTTCATGGAGATGCTCCAGTTTGTCCTCTGTGGTCTGCTTGGCTCTCCGAAGTGCATTTTGGGGTCAAAGCCCTGGGTGGTGGCTCCCTCCCCATGGCTCCCTGTGTGTCTTCTGCTGTCCCTGGAGACTTTTCTCCTTTGCCTCTGGAATGTCTTTCAGGAGGTCTTAGTCTCATTGGATGTCCTCGTCGTGTGACAGTTAAGCTGAGGGCGTGTGCATTTATGTGAGGAGCTAAGCGTTTGGGAAGTTAGGTTGGTGGAGCAGGAAATGATAGTGTTTAAAAAACCCCCGACTTTGGCAGAACCAGGTCTGCCAGCCCTGCAGAACCATTGTCTTGTTCACCCTCATTCTGTGCCCTCACTGGAGTGAGGCCAAGTCCCGTGTCTGTGCTCTGCCTACATGTGTCTGCTGGCAGCTAGCAAACTCGCAGAAACTTTTTACCAGCTAGGAACCCGAGTGGATAGAAGAGACGGTGCTCTGTGGAAAGTGTAGTTCAGCCTTCCTGACTCCAGAATTGTGACTGTGGGCAGGTGACCACTAGTGAAAGGCCCAGTTGCCTCATGGAAGCCATACTCTCAATCCAGTTAACTTGTGCAGAAGCTTACAGTGATCCTGGCTTGCTGGGTGCTAGACTTGAAGCTTCGAGACCTTGTTCTGTATAATTCAGTCTAATCCCCTGCCCCAGCCTCCCCAAAATCAGGAAATTTGTTATACAAATCTTACTTTTAAGTTGATGACCCAGAAGGTGACGGGCTGTGAGAAGGGGGTTAGCAGTACAGTGGGGGGTGGGGGGATGTTGGCTGTGTCCTCCCTGGCTGGTATAGGTGAGCTGACTTGGTGTTGTAGGTCTGGCTGGATTGGCAGATGGACAGCAGCCTGGGCCACTGACATGCCAGGAGTTGTAAGACAGAATCCAGGAAACTCCTTTCTGCCACAGAGAGCATGAGCCTGAAAGAGCATTTTTCTAGAGGCTTAACCTTTTGAGAGTGACAGGGGGCAGGTGTGCATAATTACACCCAGGCCCCAGGAATGTCTTGGGGCTACAGAGATGTATCATCACCCTAATCATAAGTTCATCTACCTTTTAGGCTTGATAGTTGAAAACATTTCCTAGTGTTTTCCTGTGTAGCTCAGGCTGGCCTCAGACTTACAGCAATCCTCCTGCAGGCTGAATCCCCATGTGTGGCCTCCAGTGTTTTATACTTTTGTTTTTAACCGTTTCACATACAGTCCCTTGGCCAAGGCTCATGAGATTCAGGTTGCTCTTGCTGACACGCCCATCATGTGTGCCTACTCTCTCTTTTGTTATCTCCCCAAATCATTGATGAATATAGCAGAGTGTCATTGGGAGTCATTTTATTGCAGCATTCTTCAAGCCGAGCGGTAGTATTTATTTTTCCCCCATGTCCCTGACCTGTCTCGACTCAGGTCCTTGGCCATCCGTTCAGTGTTAGGGATGGGTTCCATCTCATGGATTGGGCCTTAACTACAATGAGATATTGGTTGGCTACTCCACAGCTTTGTGCTACTATTTCACTAGTGCATCTTGCAGGCAGGTCATCATTGTAGATCAAAAGATGTGTAGCTGGGTTGGTGTTTACGTTTCTCCTTTGGTAGCATGCAGAGTACCACCCAGTACCATGGATACTCGACCAGAGGGATGAAGGCTGTAGGTAGGCACCAGCTCTACTTCTCCCTATTTAATAATGTGTGTAGGTGTTGTCTTTAGCAATAGGACCTTGTCAGTTTGCAGAGAGCAACCAATAGCCTTGACAATAGTCTGGGTTGTTTGGGTGTTCTCATGGGACCCCTTTGGCCAACAACTTCTTTGAACGTCTGGTCAAATTCTACACTAAAACCATCTGGCCCTGGGCATTTTTTTGGTTGGGAGGCTTTTAATGACTGCTTCTATTTCACTAGGGGTTGTAAGTTTGTTTACATCGCTTATCTGATCTTGATTTAACTTTAGTAGATAGTATGTATCAAGAAAATTATCCATTTCTTTTCAATTTTCCAATTTGGTGGAGTACAGGTTTTTAAAATATGTCCCTATGATTCTTTGCATTTCCTTGGTGTCTGTTGTTATGTCACCCTTTTCATCTCTGATTTTGTTAATTTGTATCTTTCCTCTTCAGCTTTTAATTAATTTGGCTAAGGGTTTGTCAGTCTTACTGGTTTTCTCAAACAACCAACTCTTCATTTCATTGATTCTTTGCATTATTTTTGTTTGTTTCTATTTCATTGATTTCAGCCCTGAGTTTGATTATTTCTTGCCATCTACTCCTCCTGGATGTGATTTCTTCTTGTTGTTCTAGACCTTTCAGGTGTGCTAGTATGAGCTCTCTCTAATTTATTTATGTAGGCACTTAGTGCTACATCAAGTTTTGTTTTGACCTATTTTTCATTCAGTAGTGAGTTGTTCAGTTTCCATGAATTTGTAAGCTGTCTGTTGTTTCTATAGTTGATGATATTCAGCTTTAATCTGTGGTGGTATGACAGGGTATTACTTCAGTTTTCTTATATCTTTTGAGACTTGCTTTATGGCCGATTATATGGTTAGTTTTAGAGAAAGTTCCATGAGGTGCTGAGAAGAAACATTTTGTGTTTAGGTGAAATGTTCTGTAAATTAGGTCCATTTGAGTTAACACATCATTTAGTTCCAACATTTCTTTGTTTAGTTTTTGTCCGGATGATCTGTCTATTGGCGAGGGGTGGGTATCAAAGTATCCCACTATGTGTGTGTGTGTGTGTGTGTGTGTGTGTGTGTGTGTGTGTGTGTGTGTGTGTGTATGTGTGTGTAGGGGTCAATATGTGATTTAAGCTATAGTAGGGTTTCTTTTATGAACTTGGATTCCTTTGTGCATAGATGTTTGGAATTTCAGTATCGTCTTGGTGGGTTTTTCATTTGATGAGTATGTAGTTTCCTTCCCCATCTCTTGATTAGTTTTGGTTTGAGGTGTATTTTGTCATATATCATAATGGCTTCACCCTCTTGCTTCCTTGGTTCATTTGCTTGGAATATCTTTTTCCATCCTTTTACTCTGAGGTGATATCTATCCTTGATGTTAAAGTATGTTTCTTGGATGCAGTTGAAGAATGAATCCTATTTTTTGAACCCAATTTGTTAGTCTTTTTTATTGGGAAATTGAGACCATTGATATCAGGGATTGATGATTCCTGTTATATTATTGTTATGGTGTAGGTCCCTTCCCTTCTTTTGATTTGCTGGTCTGAGAGTGTTTATTTATTCAGGCTGAAGTTTTCCTTATAGCACCTTCTGTCAAGCTGGATTTGTAGGTAGAAACCACTTAAATTTCATTTTATTGTGGATTGTCATTCTTTCTCCATCTACTGTGATTAAAAGTTTTGCTGGATATAGTAGTCTGGACTGGCATCTGTAGTAGAACATCTGTCCAGGATCTCCGACTTTTAGAGTCTTGATTGAAGTCAGGTGTTATTCTAATAGGTTTGTCTGCCGGTATATGTTATCCAGTCTTTTTCTATTGCAGATTTTGGCATTCTTTCTTTGTTTTATACATTCTGGTTTTTGATTATTATGTGTTGTAGGGAATTTATTTTCTGGTCCAGTCTATATGGTGGTCTATTTGCTTCTTATAGTATGATAGGCACTTCCTTCTTTCGGTTAGGTAACTTTTCATCTATGCTTTTGTTGAAAATATTTTCTGTGCCTTTGACCTGGGTTTCTTCTCCTTTTGCTATCCCTATTGCTTATAGATTTTTGGTTTTTCATAGTGTCCCAGATGTTTTGTGCCTGGATTTTTTTTCCTTTTTTTTAGATTTAACATTTTCTTTGACTGAGGTATCCTTGTCTCCGATCTTGTCTTCAATACTTGAGACTCTATCTTACGTTTCTTATATGATTTTGGTGAGGCTTACTTCTAAGATTTCTGTCCTAGTTCCTAAATTTTTCATTTCCAGCTTTACCTCAATTTGTGTTTTCTTTAGCAATTCTATTTCCTCTTTCATGTGTTGAACCATTTTCTCCATTTCATTGCACTGTTTGTGTTTTCATTAATGGGCTTATTCATATCCTCTTTACGGACCTTGAGCATATTCATAATAGTTATTCTGGGAGCCTTGTCTTTTGCTTCAGTATATTGCATTTCTCAGGGCGGGGTTGCTGGGCTCTAGTGGAGACATGTCCTGGCCGTGACCAGGTTTTTACACTGGTGTCTGGGCGTCTGGGTTTGAGAAGATTGTAATTCTAGGTGCTGATATCTGGTTTTGCCTTTGTTGGGGTGATGTTCAGTCCCTTGGTTTCTGTTGCCCCACCCCCGGGGGGTGTGGTAGCTGTGGATTGGTTGCCTGGTAGGAAGTGCTTCTGAGACCCTGCGGAACCCTGCCACTGGCAGTCTTGGGTAGAGAGTGTTCTAGGTGTTGGGAGCTGACACTAAGGAAGGAGTGAGGATGGTGAGGGAGTTCACAGGAGGGAGGAAAGCTGGGAAGGAGAGCAGAGAGGAAGGTGGCCTGCTACGAGGTTGGGCTAAGACTGGGGGTGGAATTGGAGGACAAGAGGGAGAGTGAAGATCGCAGATGGATCCTGAACCCTGGCCAGTTTGGTGGTTCAGGATCCCCTGGCCAGTTTGATGGCTCAGGATCCCCTGGCCAGTTTGGTGGCTCAGGATCCCCTGGCCAGTTTGGTGGTTCAGGATCCCCTGGCCAGTTTGGTGGTTCAGGATCCCCTGGCCAGTTTGGTGGTTCAGGAAGCCTGGAGGAGATCTGGAGATCTGTGTGATCTGCTGAGAATGGGTCCCTTAGTAACCTCTTGAAGCTTTGATGTTGAGGCTTCTGTGGGGGCCCCTGTCTGCCAAGCATGTGACAGACCACTGAGAAAGAATCTCCATTGCCCTGCATTAAAAAAAATTTTTTTTGGAGACTTGGTCTCATGTCGCCCAGATTGGCCTTGAACTTGCTACGTTGACCTTGAACTTTTTCTTACCTACACCTGAGAACTGGGGTTACAAGTGTCCATCACACCCAGCTTCCTATTGTTTTTCCTTTTTTCCTGATTTCCCCATTTAACATTTAAAAGATGAAAGGCTTAGTATGCGGGAAACATCCTTGAGGGTGCACACACTTGCCATATAGAGAGGATGAAATGGTTCCAAGTCATCAGGCAGCAATCCCAGAACCAAAAGGTTCACATTCTCCATCACCTGGTTCAGGGGAGCCCCACCTGTACTCAGAATGTTGCCTAGGAAACTGTTGATATTCACAGATGGGCTGCCTCTGGGAATAAACCTGGGGAAGAATAAGACTTCGGAGGATGCTGCTGCAGACTATGTAGAGGGTGTTCGTGTCCTGGGCCCCTTGGCTGACTACCTGGTGGTGAATGTGTCCAGTCCCAACACTGCTGGCCTGAGGAGCCTACAGGGAAAGGCTGAGCTTCGCCGCCTGCTGGCCAAGGTGTGTCATTACACCATAACATGCCCGTTGTCCTTACTCGTTTTCACTCTTCAGGACCACTGAGGAGAAGCTGTTCTTCACATCTGGCCTAGGACCCCTCATCACACATTTTCCAAGTGCCCTTTCATCCCTCACATCCCCAGTCATACACAATAGACAGTTAACCGCTTTAAAACCACAGGCAACCATGGCAGGCAGGGCTCTCTGAATGACTTCTCGATGCACAGCACTTGTGACACACCTCCTTTCTTGTTTTCAGGAACAAAGTCAGAACGCTTGAGAGTTACCTTGGGGGCGGGGGTGGCACTGTGGGGCTATGGGCTGGGTCCCCATCTCTGGCTTGTCAACCTAGGTGCTGCAGGAGAGGGACACCTTGAAGGGAGGGCGGAAGCCAGCAGTGCTGGTGAAGATTGCCCCCGACCTCACAGCCCAGGACAAGGAGGACATTGCCAGTGTGGCGAGAGAGGTTTGAGTTGGGGTGGTCCAGGGCGGGGTGGGGTAGCCTTCCTCGCCCACTGCAGCTGGGATAGCACGAATGGCGTGGTTAGTGACTTCCTCTGTGTGAAGTAGAGGGGCTGGCTGGCTGCCTGTCGTTGTGTAGTTCCTCTGGGGCAAACAGTGAGTTTGAGAACGTGTTTGGTGAGTCTTTCTTGCTTCTGACCTGTCTTCATCCGGAAAGGCTGAGGCCTGTGCTACCTTCTCCGGTCTCACCTGGGAATGGTGTCTGTCCTTTTCCAGCTGGTCCAAACACCAGGCTTCTCTGGCTAAAGAGGGTAATAGGAACACAGCCCAGCCGTCCTGGATTTCAATCTTTTTGTTTGTTTGTTTGGTTGGTTTTTCGAGACAGGGTTTCTCTGTATTGTTTTGGAGGCTGTCCTGGAACTCGCTCTGTAGACCAGGCTGGCCTTGAACTCACAGAAATCCTCCTGCCTCTGTCTCCCGAGTGCTGGGATTAAAGGCGTGCGCCACCAACACCCGGCCTGGATTTCAATCTTGTTCTACTATGTACTCCCTGAGATACTCCCAGACAGCTTGCTCTAAGGGTCAAACCCTGTGTAGGCACTGTATTGGGCTTAGCAGGAGACGCGCTGTATCACATTGAGAGGCTCTTTCTGATGGCTTCTCCGGTCAAGATATAGGTGAGGCCTGTGAGGGTCTTGCTCTGCAGAACTGACCTCTGGTCTGGTGGCTGCTTCAATCCTCAAAAGACACAGTTTCTTTGACTTCCTCAGATCCATGGCTTAAGGCTCTTTCTCTGTGTTGTGCTGCAGCTGGGCATCGATGGATTGATTGTCACAAATACCACAGTGAGTCGCCCAACCGGCCTCCAAGGTGCTCTGCGCTCTGAGACGGGAGGACTGAGTGGGAAGCCACTCCGAGATCTGTCGACCCAGACCATCCGGGAGATGTACACCCTCACTGAAGGCAAGGCTTTGTTCGTTTGTTTGTTTTGAGACAGGTTTTCTCTGTTTAACACTTCTGGCTGTCCTGGAACTCACTTCGTAGACCAGGCTGGCCTCGAACTCACAGCCTACCTAGTGCTGGGATTAAAGGCATTTGCCACCACTGCCCGGGTAAGGCAAGACTTCTTTGGTCCTGGATCTTCCCTCATCCACTGTGTCTGCTGAGAACCCTGTTCTGCCCTCATCTGCTGTGTTTCCTGGGACTGAGGCCTGATGGAGCCCTGGTCCTCACCCCGCCTTCCTGGCCTTGCTGTGTGCTTCTCTCCAGGCAGGATTCCCATCATCGGGGTCGGTGGAGTGAGCAGCGGGCAGGATGCGCTGGAGAAGATCCAAGCAGGGGCCTCCCTGGTGCAGCTGTACACGGCCCTCACCTTCCTGGGGCCACCTGTTGTGGTCAGGGTCAAGCGTGAGCTGCAGGCACTTCTAAAGTGAGTGGGGCTTGATGCAACTGAGACTCGAAAGCGACGCTTGTCATCGGTCTGTTGTGCACTCCCAGAGGGCTGGAGGGAAACACTGACGGCAGGGTGGGACAGTTTCTCTGCTGCACCTTTGGCCAAGGACAAACAGTGCCAAGGGAATTCAGAATGCTTCTGAGGCAGGGCTCTTCACAAGGCAGAACTTGCCACTTGCCCAGGGACTGGGATTGAGGAATCCTAGCAGAATGAAGCAAGTAGTGAATTTACGTTGACTCAGTGTCCGGAAGCTGCAGGTTATACAGTCTCTCCCTTCCTGCACAGAAGACCTGGCTCGACATCTGTGCAGGGGCCTGGGCGTGGGCAGAGTCGCAGTGGTCGTGAGGTGCGCTGCGTGGGATGGTGTGGTGGGCTCATGGCAAGTGTGGGCTGAAGACAGACTCTTTCTTTTCTGTCCAGAGAGCGGGGTTTTAACACAGTCACAGACGCCATTGGAGCAGATCATCGCAGGTGACGGTTCCTGCCAGATGTCCCATCCAGAGCGTGCTCACCAACTCAAGCCTTGTGGCCACATCATGAGAGGAAGAACCGTCTCAAGCCATGTCATTTGAATCGTGGCCTGGCTGCACTGCACAAGCCAGTCACGGGTGTTACTAGACAGTAAAGGCTTTCTCTAGTGAGACCGTGAACTCTACTGTCCCAGGATCTAAGTCCTGGGATCCCTCAGTATTATGAGGGCATTGGCTCTTTGGAAGGAAAAATCATGAGAAAATAAAGTCATTTCAACCTGTTTTCAAATCCTGTCTCCCCAGGGTGCCAGGTCTCTGCCCAGATGCTGAAGGTCTTTCTGGGCCTCCACTCCCTGGTCTGGGGGGGGGCTTCCCAGGACTCTGCCTTTCAGTTGACTTGATTTATTTTACATTTCTGACTTTATTATGAGACTATTTCGAACATAGTTGAAAGTTGCAGGAATAGTCAGTGAAGTCTGTGTCCTTCATTTTGATCCACCAGGGGTCACCGTTTGTCACAGTGGTTTCTCTATCCTTCTCTTTCTTTTTCTGCACACTCACTCTCGAGAGCGTGCACCCACACACACACACTCACGAGAGAACATTGCTAGCGTATACTATTATTGTTGAAACATTTGAGTCTGTGAGTGTCATCATTACCCACACCCATGAGTGCTTCAGCGTGGTTCCCCAAAGCACTTTGCATTACTGCTTAAATTTCAAAAGCACTATGTGTTTTAGAGATTGTTTTTTTCTGTGATAAAACACTATTACCAAAAAAGCAACTCCATGAATAAAGGTTTTATTTTGTGTTACACTTCTGGGCCACACTCCATCATGAAGGGAAAGTCAGGACAAGATCTCAAGCAGGGCAGGAATCGATGCACAGGCATGGAGGGGTGCTTTCTCCTGGCTTGCTCCTTATGGCTTGCTCAGCCTGCTTTTTAACAGCACCCAGGACCATCTGCCTGGGGTGGCAGAGGTCTGGGCCCTCCTACATAAATTGTTAATTGAGAAAATGTGTCACAGGCCATTCTGGCGGGGGCATTTTCTCAGCTGAGGTTCCCTCTCCTGATGATTCTAGCCTGTATCAAGCTGACCCGAAAACTAGCCAGGACACTACATTGTTCTCAAGTCCAGCCTGGTCTACAGAGGGAATTCCAGAATAGCCAGGACTATTATGTAGGGAAACCCTGTCTCAAAAAAAAAAAAAACCACTACCACCACCGACAAAAATACAGTACTCTCAGCTGGGTATGGTGGTGCACACCTTTAACCCCAGCACTCAGGAATCAGAGACAGGTGGATCTCTGTGAGTTTGGTCTACAGAGGGAGTGCCAGGACTATACAGAGAAATCCTGTTTTGAAAAAAACCAAAAGAAACAACCCCCCAAAGAGCAGTACTCTCCAATTTGTAAAAGCTCCCTGTCCTCCTAACCTCACTCCGCAGAAATGACCTCTGTAGTGTGTCCTCTCAGCCTCCCCTATGCAGGAAGCACCCACATATGAGCCCACCATGCTGTGGGTGTGGCATGCCTGCCGCCTAAATATGGATAACATAGACAAGTGGAAAGTGGCATAGTGTGGAGCAGTTTGGGGGTCTGATCTGGAGCACACTGGTGTCACCCTGGGCCTCATGGCAGGCCTATCGAGTGTGAGCTCTTTGGTTTCTGCTCTCAGTGGGGAAGGGTGGTCAGCCAGAGGCTATGCTGGAAGAGGACCATGCTGTCTAGCTGCGGCTCTGATCAGGTAAGAGAAGGCCGAGATCTTCACGCCTGACGTGGCATCTCCAGGTTGCACAATATGCGCTGATGTGCTAACTGCTGAAACTGGCTTATGGGCCAGATGCAAATTCAGGTTTCCAGTCTAGGTCCATACCTACTCTCGGCAGTGATGAGCCAGGAGCTCCAGGAGGGCACTAATAGGTACACAGAACAGTTCACCCCAGCTGTGTGCAAGAGGTCACCGGATGGTTCATGCGCCATGGCTAGGACTCTGGGGAGGCATCACATTGCCCGTTGCACTGCCTGGCTCCAGAGTCCCCACCTTTCATCAGGGCCCTGTCAGTCTCACCATGAGAAAGCCTTGGGACAGCCAAACCAAATGTAGAATGACTGCCCCTAACTTTTATAGTAAGGAATTTTAGATGTGCAGAAAAAACAAATAGGATAACACACGTAGTCTTCCATCTAGACTCGGGAATTCTGTCTTGTATGTGTTTACTCTGTCAATATTTTTTCAATTTGTTATATATATTTTTTATTTTTAAATTTAAATTAGGGTCACCCTCCAGAGACAACAGTGACAAGGACAGAAAGAGCTTCATGGAATGGCCGGTAGCTCTGCCTACTTCCACATCTCTTTAATACTGTGTGCTAGACCGGCTTTCTTTCATGTGCAACTAAACCTAACCTCAGTAAGGAAAGAGACTGAGTCCTCTCACAGCCGTGGACTGGCCTGGAAGCTTTGTTGCTTTCCGCTGAGAGGGGCTTCAGGCTTCTTTTCCTCCAGGTGTGGATCTTGGTCAGTGCACCAAGAATGTGATGGAGGACAACGGGTCACTGACCCCCCTAGTCTTGAGTAATTTCCACCGTGTTGAGTAAGCCTTGGCAGTCAGGTGCTCTTTCTATAAAAACCCCATGGCTCTACAGGTGGGAAATAAAGTTTGCGCGCCCTGACACCAGGGACATGGCTGAGAGGTGTCCACCCTGACACCAGGGGACATGGCTGAGAGGTGTCCGTGCAGGAGCAGAGCAGGAGTGACCTGAAGTGGCACCCGGCTGGGTTTTGAGAGGTCTGGGATATAACACAAAGGCAGCTTTTCAGCAGGGCTGGGAAGGACTTGGGAACAGACACACAGGGCCAGCTCTCCAAAGGGAGAGAGGGAGGGAGGGGGCTTAGCCACTCACATTCCTCAAGTGATCAGGAGGAGGTTCCTGGGTGTGGGAAATTCCAGCTGGAGAGTACCTTACAGGAAATAAGAGAAGGGACAGTGCAAGGGTTGAGTTGCTGCTCCTCCTGTGGTCCTGTCAACCACTTGGCTTGGGCCAGAAGCAAAATGGTCCAAAGGATCGGAACTGGCTCCTACACCAGGCATTTTCTTTTGGGCCAGGAACCAGCTCCCAAATCATGACACAGAAACTTATTATTAATTTTGAATGCTGAGCCTCGCTTAGCTAGTTTCTGGCTAGCTCTTTTAACTTAAGTTAAATGGTTTCTCTTTATTTGCCTTTGGCCTTGGGAATTATTACCTTTCTTGCTTCTGTATATCTTACTTTAACTGCTTCTCCTTTTTGAGCCTAGATTTCTCCTCCTATTTGTTCTCTCTGCCTCTAGCCCCGCTAATCCTTTCTCTGCCTACCTACTGGCTGTTCGGTTCTTTATGAGACCAATCAGGTGCCATAGGTGGGCAAAGTGAAGCAGATGCTTTTCATAATTAAACACACATCCTTACATCATTAATCAAATGCAGCATAGACAAAAGAGCACTGTTAAAGTAACATTCCTCATCATAAACAAAGTAGCACATCTTTCTTAGTTAAAATAATATTCTACAACAGGCTCCTCCTGCCCCAGACAGTCACTGGGCAGTGCCCTGGCTGTGGCCATTTCAGCTGTTCTCTTGGATGTTGAGTCTGGTTCCTGCTCATTCTTCTTGTTCTTCTTCTTGTTTTCCTTCTTCTTCCTCTTCCTCCTCCTCCTCCATTTTTTTTTTTGAGACAGGGTTTCTCTGTATGTAGCCTTGGCTCTCCTGGAACTCTATAGACCAGACTGGCCTTGAACTCAGAGATCTGCCTGCCTCTGCCCCCTTGAGTGTGGTTCTTAACAGTCCGGTGTGGATCATGAGTCTTGGGATCCTAATATGTCAGACTGGTGGGATCAGAATTTCCGTTCTATGTGAGTCTCTAACCATTAGAAACAAATAGGAACGTGTGCATTCATGGAGCTGAGCTGTGCCCCTTCCTTCTCTCCTCATTTATTGTTGAGACCCTACTTGTCAGCGGCTGAGCTACGTGTTGGGGATGGAGATAACCATGCTTTGCTACTTCGTCTATGCAAAGTCACACATGAACATAAGGGGCGGAACCCTATGGCTCACACCGCACAGCAGGAGAAGGAGCCTGGACTCTACAGTGGGGAGGGGAGTCACTTCTGGGTTACCAACTGTGTGTGGTCCGATTTCCTTGGACTGACAGTTCAAAAGTACAATCCTATGTTAATTGCACCCCTGGTTGGCACTCAGGGACTCTGTTGTCTGAATGCGATGAGGTCATTTGCCTGAGTTCTTGCCTAATAATGTACTTCACAGCCATGACTCCATGGTCTGTGTTAGCTTCTCACAGCTTTTCTGCCAGTGTCTTTTGGATGTCCCTGGAGGCCCCAGCTCTCAGAGCCTCGCTCTCTTCAAAGCACCGTGTTTCCCAGCTTTGGGGAGGGGCAGTGTCCTAGTGGCCTTCCTCCCACTTTGCTGGGTGTCACTGCCATGTTCACAGTTTTGATGTGACACAGAGATTTCTTCAAAGCCCCCATAGTTGCTGAGAAATGACTTCAGCCTGGCTACTGTGGGTAAACACTTCTGGGTAAGCCACACCTTAACCCAGGATCTGAAGGCTCTGCTGCCCAGTGACTCTTAGAAGTGACTCTGGTGGGAACTGGGGCCAATGATACAAAGGACCCTTACTCCCAGAATAGATCAACGTGTAGAGTAGGCCCCCTAGTGTGGTCCTGGGCTTGGCCTATGTCTCAGGCCCATCTCCTGGGCTTACTATTACTTACTTTGTTGCTCTGAGCATCTTCCTAATCTTGTGTCTTGGCTGTGAAGATAGGCTTGCTAAATGATGATAGGTTCTCCAGCGTTGGGAACTTGAAGAATTCAATCAGTAAGTGCTCAGAGGCCATGCAGAATAGTACCTGGCCTGTGGTAAGGACCCTCGTATGTGGCCTGTCATTCCTGTGTGATGAGTGCCTTTTCTGTTAGGGGCTTGACAAGCTGGTTCTCTTCAGAGAGAGAGCAGGTGGCACTTGCCCATGGCGTTGCATCATTTCTACTCCCACCCCAACTTGGAGGACAGAGGTTCTGTTTACCCTCCATTTAGTTCAGCAAATAGAGCTGAATTGTGTGCTGGCATTTATGGGGACACTGGTGGCAGAGAATAAGCAAATGCCAACATGTCACACTGGTTACCTAGGCTCCAGGAGGCCATGTGTCCCACAAATTCAAAGTGGAGAAAGTAAGCAAAGTCGGTATAGTTTTTTAATATATTCAGTCTTTAGAGTACACACACACACACACACACACACACACACACACACACACACACTTTTGCCTTTGACCTTTGACCAGTTTCTTACTGGGAAAGGCAGACTTTATTGACTGTTGTGACAGACCTTGTGTGTTTCCCACCCCTGCTTGTCTGTCCTTGCTGGAAGGGGTTGGCTTGAGGATCATGTGTAGTTTGGCAGCCGGGACCTTGGGAATTCCTCATTTACACAATGTTTGGGAGGAGGTTGCTATTTTGCATAAGTGTTTCTAAAAGCTTGAAACTTTGGTACATATGGTACAAACATCGGCAAGTTTGTCTGCCAGTGGCCCAGTGTTTGAGAACAGAATTGCAGCACTCAGAAGTATGGCTGGGAAGAGTGCCTGTGTTCCTGGCAAGGCAGCTCCTCGTAGTCTCTGGTAGCTGATTACAGGGTGATGTTCTAGAAAGGGGTGTTTTAACAGGAATGGCTATTGAGGGCACGGGGTGAGGAAGAGCTGGCACAGGCAAACTGTGATGGGCCGGAGTGGACCGGAGCTCGAGGCAGCAGCACTCTACCTGCTGATGTGATACTGCTGCCCAACGAGCCTTCTCCAGCCAAACAGAAGGACCTCAGCAGGCCTTCTGGACTTGTGATTCTGAACATCGTCCACTTGGTCTGTGCTGAGCTACGCTGAGGTCTGGGCAGGTCTCAACTGGGTCTCAAGCGCTTACCCCATGGTTACCACGGAGAGGGCTCCTGAAAGGAGGGGCCGCCTGACTGCGGCTGGGACTCCTGTGTTCATAATTCTCCAGCAGAGCGTCCAGGAATGGCACAGGTTCCTCCATGCGGTGGCTTCTGGATTCTGCATGCAGTGAAGAGAAGGCAAGCCCAGGGGGCCAGCTGTATTTCAGGTCTACACTATTTCAAATGGTCACTCAGCCAAACCCAGATTCAAAGGTTAGGGAAACAGGGTCCCCCTAGTAATGGGAAGCATCGTTATTTACTGCACGCATGCAGCACATGGGTTGAGACCTGGCCCTCCAGACCCTGCTCACATGGGTTGCTCGGTGAGAGACAGGCCTTGGTGCGTTTTCCTCCACCTCTGTATTTGAAATACAAATACTTCGTATTTTAAGAATATTGTGTGTGTGGTGTGCACACACGTGAACAGACGCAGCACAGGAAAATATACATCCGTGAACTTGCCATCCAGACCACAGCTGGGCCACTGACAACCACTTACTTGTCTTTATTTTCCCAGGCGCTTTCTGTCGTGGTTCCTTCCCACCTCCTCAGGGCAGGTGACACTTTACATTTTGTGTTTTCCATTCCGTTGAGAACTTGAAAAATAAAGTTCTTCTGTCCCTGGAGTGCATGGCTATGCAATTTATAGCAGAATTATGCTTGCTTTTCCCTTATGCAGTGAAGTCCACTTACTATTGACTTCTTAAGTTTACATTGTGATAAAATACATAGAATGTACGGCTTGACTTGAGCTATGCCCAGCTTACATTTCAGCAGCATGGATCACAGCGGCACTGTTGCGCAACCGTCACCACTGTTCCCAAAGCGTCTTCACCGCCCAACCAGAAGCTACACAAATACTAAGCAATAGCTCCCCTTTTCCAGCTTCTGTCAGTTTCTTACCTTTTAAAAATATTTAGTGCGTGTGTGCATGTGCATGTGTGCATGCTTAAGGCGCATGTGGTTCAATCCACCATGTAGTGTCTGGGAGTCCAACTCAGGTCATCAGACTGAACCGTCTTGCTAGCCCTGGCCTCTGGCAGTTTCTAATCTACTTTCTGCTTCTATGAATCTCCCTTTTGGCTGCTTCCATTTAGTAGGTTTCCAAGATTATTGTAGTGAGAGGACCAGGGAGCCAGATCAGAGCCATGACAGGTTTCCAATGGCACCTGCCAATTGCCAGGCCTTAGTTTCAGTTTACTGGAACCAGCTGGAGCCCAGCAAACAGTTCTGGGGAAAGCTGCAACCCAGGGGCAACCAGTCAGAGGGCGTCCCACAACTGGGTGCAAGTTTAAGAGAACTAAAAGTAGCTTCTCCCACCCTTCAGCTGAAAAGCCCCCAACCACTGACCCGCCAACCAATCCTATAGCAACCCGTAAACTTTTTGTTTAAACCCACCAATCAGCCCCCAGATTAATCTCTCCTCCCTGGAATTCCCCTAATCCAGCTTTAAAAGGGGCCCTGCAAGCCTCTCCAGTGGTTGCCATGTGTCACCCCAACACTCTTGTTTATTGCATGCGTGACTGGTGATTTTTATGGGACTTCTGGTGGATCCTAACAGATAGGAGGCATCAATCAACTCCATTCTTTTCTGTAGGTGAATAATATTCTCCTGCATGTACAGATCACATTTTGCAATGTTCTGTTGATGGATGCCTAACTGTTTCTACTTTTTGACTACTGTGAAGATGCTGCAGTGAATGCTGCTAGAAAGTCCCTTGTTTAAGTTCTCTTTGGTGGGCACCTTATTGTGTGACAAAATTTTCCTTGGGGAGATACAACACACATATCTCCTCACCTCTGATAGGGATCCCAGGACAGACCTAAGTAAGTATAACACCAAAGTCCAATTTGGTAAGTTGTATTGGGGTCACTTAGAAGAATATTGATGAGAGGTTACTTACAGAAGCAGAAAAGACAGCTGCATCACCAATGCCCAGACCAGAGTGGGTGACATCTCACAAAAGCTAGGAACCTGGAGCACACTGCACAGCCTGAAGGTTGCTCATCGGGTTGGAGAGTGTCCTTTCCAAAAGACTCTGTCCAAGCCTCTTCTAGGCAGTTAGTCTGGTCCGAGTCTTCTTTGCAGCCTAGTGAATCTGGTCAGTTTCAGGGACTTCCTGAAGCTGTTTGGAGTTGTTTATTTTTCTGCTTAAGGAGTTTCCCATGGAATGTTTCAATCTGGGTGGGGAACCTGTTGCACGATACACCTACAGATGGACTTGCTGGGGCACAGTAATTCTGTTATTAGCTTTTGGACAGACCATGGGGCTATGCCTCGGAGCATGCACCATTCTACATTCCTAAGGCAACACATGAGGGTTCCAATTTCCGCCTATCTTCCCTAAGTCTTGTTTTGCTGTAGGAGACTTTTACACATTTTGGGTACAAAGCCTTTATCAAATAGGATATTTGCAAACATTTCCTCCCTTTTGGAGGATTTTTTATCTTTGTTTTTATTTGTTATTATTGTTTCCAAATTATGTGTAGGTGTATGTGTCTGTGTCTTGCATGTGAGTTCAGAGGCATTGGGCACCCTGGAGCAGGAATCTTAGGCTGTTGTGAGCCACCTGATGCTGGGAACTGAACTCAAGTCCTCTGGAAGAGCAGCAAGAGCTGCTAACAACGGAGCCATGGCTCCAGCCCTGCCTTTTAACTTTCTTGATATTGTTTGTGTTTTGAGAGCCATATTTAAGAATCCTTTGCTAAACTGTGCTTGGTTTTGAGCTTTATAAGAGCAGTATTATTCCCAATGCAATCTTCTGCGTTGTGCTTCCCCCCCCAAATTAAAAGATTATGTCTATTCTCTGTTGTCCAAGCATTTCATAGCTTTACAATATTCTATCACGTGACCACACATTAGTTCCTAGTCCCCTGTTGATAGGTATCTGTGCTCTTCCCAGTCGTTTTGAAATTGCATCGATGCCACTATAAACAGCCCACATGATTCTTTGGTACGATCTGATTTAAAAACAGCTAACTTTTTTTTTTTTGAGTTACTATGTTTGAATGAACAGCATCCCAGGGCAGGCATTTGACTGAAACATTGGTGTTTCTCGGCTGCCTCTTTTGACTAGCAACTGGACTATGAAGCTACAGGAAGTCAGGATATTCAGCTTGTTCTCTATCTACACTAACCACGTGGTGTGGTTTTCTGCTAAGAGCAATCAGAGGAGACACAACAGGTTCATTTCACTGATTTCAAATCGTAACTCTTAGCAACAGGAAGATGTCCACACAGGTTGGGCAACTGTAAGTGGAAACCCTTTCCTTACCCACCCACTCCCCCTGGGTGAGGTTGCAGGGGTGTCTACACCAGAGTGCCTATCTTGAAACCATCCCAAGATAAACCCTTTTCATCACTGAAAACTCTGGAGTGAAAAGGCAGCATGACGGTCCCATGTCAGTCTACAATACAGCTTTAATCACTCTGAGGTTAGAGGGCAAAAGGCCAAGACCCAATAAACCCGGTCTACTGACTGCGGGTTCCAGATCCTTCCACAATCAGGAAGGAGATGCTCACACTTGGGTAGTATGGTTGAGAAAATGAAACACTTTCATTATAGTCCCAGCTAGGTGGGGTCACAGGGGTGCCCAAGAGAGCTTTGAAATAACTCAAAGAAAGGTTCCCTCCAAAAAATAAAGTATGAGATTGACAGCCCCTCTTCTGCATCCCACCCTTTGGGGGTTACTCACCACAGTGGTGAGTGGGAGGAGGGGTCATAAAGTTGTCAGATTTCTTCATGATTTGTAAAATAATACCGCGGGAGAGGCACGCATGAAGCAAGAGTTCAACTCTTGACAGGGTTGGTTTGTGGTTTGATTACTGGAACAACCGGTGACCTTGGCCGACATTGTGCAATAACACAGAAATGGAAGAGGAGGAGGAGGGGTAGGACCTCGAAGCATAAAAGGCCCAGCAGGAGTCGCCACGGCACGGACCATCCAGAGACTGCCAGGAGAGGCCCAAGATGAGGTGAGTCCCCAGCACACATCTCACACTTCGAGCACTCAGTGTAGAAGCCTATGGGAGAGTTGCAAAACGGGATGGGGTCAATGGGCTGAAGTTCTGGGTGAGTCCAGCCTGCAGACCACAGGCTGCCGAGGACAGCCGCAAGCGCATCGATACTTAGAGCATTATGAGATTTTCTTCCTTTCTTCCTTCCTTTCTTTTTCTGTTTTTGCCATCTCAACTGTGCAGTTTGAGTTGAGTTGTAGGTGACAACACCATGTTGAAATGTCAAAGACAGGATGTGCCTGGAACCTCAGTGAGTGAAGGGCCAGTGGCTAAACCCCTTCCTCCTGCATCCATGAGAGATGGATTTTCATTCGGGCTGCCTATCTCTAAGGAGGACCTTTCATGAGAGATGGATTTTCAGTCGGGCTGCCTATCTCTAAGGAGGACCTTTCCCCCTGACGATTAAAAGGGTTTTATCTTGACCAGGCATGAAGCAGCCTCCTGGAATATTGACTGTGCCTATTAACAGACCTGCTTTTAATGAAAGAAAGACATTTTTTTTTTTTGGTTTTACGAGACAGGGTTTCTCTGTATTGTTTTGGAGGCTGTCGGTCCAGCCCGGCCTCGAACTCACAGAGATCCGCCTGCCTCTGCCTCCCGAGTGCTGGGATTAAAGGCGTGCGCAACCACCGCCCGGCCGAAAGAAAGACATTTTAGTGACACAATCAAGGCACACAGATATTTATCAAAATAGAAAAACTTTGAAGGTTGAGAAAAGACTAGAAGCAGAAATTCGCCAAGAAATTCCTGACTGGCCAATGTCTGCTGGGATCTGGTTACCTTTTAAATGTAGTCTGTGCACCAATGATGGCCACAGTCATGCCTTTAGAAGCCAGTTTTCTCTAGGCAACCATCTGGCATTCATGGTTTTATATGCCACCCTTTAAAGGCAAATACTCACAGAGTAATAGGAACAACCACATATGAGTTAGGGGTGATGGTGCACACCCAGTCACTCTAGAACCTGAGGTTGGCTGAGCCTGGGAGTCCAGGAGTTTGTGACAAGCCTGGGAACGAGTGAGTCCTTGTCTTAAGAACAATGATAACTATGACAAATTACACATGCAAACAACCTTTTCATTATGGGAGATGTCAAACGCTAGTGAGACTAGCAAAGTAAATCATAGCTGCCATCTTTAGGCTAGCTACAATGTCCTAACAGTGTCTCCGTAGCCCAGGACTCATGGACGTACGGCAGAGGCTTCTTGCTGGACACCACAGACCATCACTAGAGGAGAGGCTCATAGCTCTGTGCGTCCTCTGCACTCTGCTCCTCTTTTCTCACCCCGCCTTCCTCGGCTGTTTTGAGACAGGCACTTGGGATGTAGCACAGGCTGTTCTCAAACCACTGATCCTCCTGCCTCTGCCTCAGTGTGGAGTTGGGATGGCATATATGCTACCACACTGGTGGTCTGGTGGTGCCTTCCTCCCTCTGTTACGGTGGCCCCTTTCTGAAGCTTGTACAGAATTCCCAGTGACACAGAGCTTGCAGGTGTGTCTGGGATTTGCTGAACCCAAGGGGGTGGGGGGGAGTAGGGGGTAGGACGCAGCTCCTCTCTTTACTGGCTGCTTAATGCAAAGTGTGTTTCCTTCTTTCCACCTCTCTGCAGAGCCCTGGGAGCTGTTGTCACTCTCCTGCTCTGGGGACAGCTTTTTGCTGTGGACTTGAGCAATGATGCCATGGATACTGCAGGTGAGTCTCCGGGCTTTCCCAGGAACTGTGCACCCCAGCTCGGCTGTGCCCCAGTCTGGCCGCATCAAAGCTGCACCCTGTTAGGGAAGAACCAGTTCCTCTTCCTGTCCTCTCATTCCCTACATCTTTGGGGCCTCCCTTCCTCAGCTTCCACTCGGGGGCGAAAGGGAGTCTGGTGTGCAGGGCAGCTCCCTCTTGGCTGACTTTTTATCGGGAGTCACCACATCCTTTATTAGCTTCTTTTTCTTGGCAGATGACAGCTGCCCAAAGCCACCAGAGATCGAAAATGGCTACGTGGAGCACTTGGTTCGCTATCGCTGCCGCCAACACTACAGACTACGGACTGAAGGCGACGGTAAGGCCTGGATGAGCACCCCTCCCTGCACACCCTGGCCCTGTTTAGTATTCCCATGATGGATGGATGAGAACTGTCAGGAGCCAGGAGAGTTAGATTCAAATGAAGTTTCTGTCTCCTGTTGGCGGTCCTTCCACCAAACTGAGTTGTCTCAGCTTCATGTTCTGTTTTGTTAAGGGGCAGCGATTCCATGGCCCCCGTTGCTCAGGAGTGCTGTCTTCACCTATGACATTGGGCAGCCTCACTATGTTCTTGACAGTTTCTAAGAATTTCACTGTGTCTTACAAGAGACACTCTTTATTTCATTTTTCTGCCGAGAAAACTAAGGCAGAGAGAGGCTGAGGTAGCTTATGAGAGGCAGAGTCAGGGCCTGAATCCTAACTTCTTCCTGTCCTATAATGCCATCTGTCATGAATAATTCCTGTCCTGCCAGACACAGTGTGACCTGAGGCATGGTCCTTCCTTCCCTCCCTCTCCTCGAACTTGGTAGAAGTCTCCTCGTGCCACCCTGGGGCCAGACTGGCTTCTTCAGCTCATCTCTTCCTTTTGTTTCAGGAGTGTATACCCTAAACAGTGAGAAGCAGTGGGTGAACACAGCTGCTGGAGAGAGACTCCCCGAGTGTGAGGCAGGTGGGTGCTGAGGTCAAGTCCCGGCAGGGATGGAGGCTGAAATGTGACAGAGGCGGGTTCCTCTTGTGTGGCCTGCATATGTGAGAGCCAGGACGGGTTAGAGAGAGCCACAGCTGGCAAAGCAGGGACACGATGACTCCCAGAGAGCTTAGTGTCATGCTCATTTAGGCCTAAGGGGTTGGCTCAGTCACTGTCTACCCTGGTTCCCATGGTGACGTCCTCCAGCAGGAATACCTGCTCACAGAGACTTGTCAAAGGTAAAGTGAGTGCCCCAGGAAGGACCAGGTTAGGGATGCCATACTTGAGCTGAGCCCACAAGGGGTAAGGCAGGGTATGGGGGCAGCTGGGACCCCTGCATTCTGTAATTCTCTCCTCTCCTGCCAGGATGAGGATTTTGATCAATTTCTACTACCAGTGGCAGGAACTGCCAACCTGCTTTGGGCTGACTTCAACATCCACAAAAAGTCTATGTTCCTGCTAACACTGCTACAGGGCCATCATTGTCTGAGAATGAAATACATACACACAGCTTCCAGCCCTGTCATTGAGTTCAGAGAATTATGGAATTTTTGTGTGTGATGTTTATTATATGTATGTTATGTAGGTATAAATACATTTGTATATTTATACACAGTAGTTTATCAGCCAGGTTTTTATTTTCTAATTCTGTCTTAGTCACTTACTGTGTAATTACTAGAGATGAGAGGAGCAGGTGGCAAGGGCAGAGTGTTTGGTTATTCTTGGGCGTGGAAGCGGCAGTGGCTGACGCTTCCAGGGCCCCCGCACATGGGGCCTGCTCTGCACCGCTGCTCACATTCCTCCCTCCCTCTGCAGTGTGTGGGAAGCCGAAGCATCCCGTGGACCAGGTGCAGCGCATCATAGGTGGTTCTCTGGATGCCAAGGGCAGCTTTCCTTGGCAGGCCAAGATGGTCTCCCGCCACGAACTCATCACAGGGGCCACACTGATCAGTGACCAGTGGCTGCTGACCACGGCCAAAAACCTCTTCCTGAATCACAGCGAGGATGCGACATCCAAGGACATTGCCCCTACCTTAAAACTCTACGTGGGAAAAATGCAGCCGGTGGAGATTGAGAAGGTGGTTATCCACCCCAACCGCTCTGTGGTGGACATTGGGTTAATCAAGCTCAGACAGAAGGTGCCTGTCAACGAGAGAGTGATGCCCATCTGCCTGCCTTCCAAAGACTACATAGCACCAGGCCGCATGGGCTATGTGTCTGGCTGGGGGCGGAATGCCAACTTCAGGTTTACTGATCGTCTCAAGTACGTCATGCTGCCCGTGGCTGACCAGGACAGCTGTATGCTTCACTATGAGGGTAGCACAGTGCCCGAGAAGAAGGCTCCCAAGAGTCCTGTTGGGGTACAGCCCATCTTGAATGAGCATACCTTCTGTGCTGGCATGACCAAGTACCAGGAAGACACCTGCTATGGCGATGCTGGCAGTGCCTTTGCCATTCACGACCTGGAGCAGGACACCTGGTATGCAGCTGGGATCCTGAGCTTTGATAAGAGCTGTTCTGTAGCTGAGTATGGCGTGTACGTGAAGGTGAACTCCTTCCTGGACTGGATTCAGGAAACCATGGCCAAGAACTAGTGCAATACTGACTGGAAGGCTCTGCCCAGGCTGACAGCCTGAGAGCACTGTTCACCATGGAAGCGGGGAGTGGAAGGTCAGGACATGATAGGATGGTGCTAGCCCTGCACTGCTCAGTCAATAAAGAACTTGTTCTGACCCATTTGTAGTTCATGCAGTCTGGGGCGGCTATTCTCCTTTACAGTACAGGGCAGCCAAGAAGCATGGTGGGCCGGAAAAATCGGGACTCTCCCCCTCATTCCAAGGGGTCAGGAAATCCCTAGGGTGCTGTAGACTGCCTGCCTTGGGGAATCATGTTTATGAAATCCAGGTCTCAGGAAGATCACTGTGAAACTTGCTTTTTAGTCAAGGAAAAAGACATGGAGAGTTGAAGAGCTTTGGTTAGAGTCACTCAGCTACTTAACGGGGCTGAACTTGATCCTGGCTCTGCTTGAATGCAAACTCTGAGCTCACCTGGCATATCCGGTCACCTCTCTGAAGTGGGTGGAGGAAGCCCTGACAGAACCCTTTGTTTGTGCTTCCATCTGCCAGTGCCCCAGAAACCAAAACAGGCACATGCAGGCAGGCTATGGGCTCAATGGGTCCTCACCACAGCTCAGCCCACAGATTCGCTCAGTGACGGAAGTTCCTGGTTGTTACTTGCCTCAGATCTTTTCCATGAGGGATGAACATTAGTAACTCTGGAGTCCCCTGGCTGGAATGCTCTGGACTTGGCAGAGTTAGGGTCTCTTCTTCAGTGGCTCCTCTTCCACAGAGGAGAAACTCACCCTGCACTGGGGTTTGGAGACAAGCCACATGGCCTTCCATACCAGAGACAAAGGAAGACACACCCAGAAGCTCTTCTCTGAACACTTCCTTGCCCCGGGCCTTTAGTTCAGTCCTTCTCTTGTCTACTGTCTCATTATGCTAACTGTGGCCTCTCTTCATGGTGTATGAGGCCACCAGGGATGGGCTCACTTGCACCCTCAAAGTCACTAAGGTATCTCCCCAGGGCAGAGCTATGGGATCAAGGGAGGAGACAGGATCTACCTTCTAGAACCTGGGAGAAAACAGCCAGAAACCGTAACAGCAGTTACATACTTACTCGACACCTGGTGGCAGGTGGCTGGCCACTACCTGGGAGGGAAATAAGGCTGGCCCTTCCTCCACTGCTCTGCCTCCTGCCTGCTCTCCGGCAGGCCTGCTTCTCCCTTCCCGCACAAGGACTTTCTCTTCTCTCTGGAGACCCTTCTCTCTCCAGGAGTCATTTACAGTTACACGGCATTTAGCACTGGACCGGGCATACAACACATGCTTAATAAATAGCAGTGGGAGGGAAAGCACCCAAGACAGGATATAAAACGTACGTCCAGACTGCAGAGGCCCCTCTGCCCTCACCCCAGCCTTCAGGAAGAAAGATGACAGGATTTTCTCTGTGCAGGCTCAGAGATTTTGCTGGCACCTGAGTACTTAGGCTGAAGAACAGAAGACCCAGGTGACAGTGAGTCGGACAAAGAAATTTTATTCTTTCATAGGGATGAGGAGGAAGGTTTAGAGTTCACCTAGGATTCAGTAACAATAGGGGTCTGACTATTAAGATCTCTGCACACTAATATTTCATCTCTTGGGCCTAGGGTGGCTGCCACAGCCCCATGTATCCTAAGGAGAGGATGGGAAGGGACATTTTCCTCATCCCTAAAGTGACTCTCAGCTTTAAGTGGAGGGTGTGGAAAGCCCCAACAATCTTCTGTGCCACATTCGTCAGAACCGGGTTCCATTTGACTTTTCCCTGAAGGGCACTGCTGAAAGGGGGTGACAGTGCTGCTGTGTCAAGCCTGGGCCTCTACTGGCAACAAGTCCCTTGCTGCCCAGCAGGTCACAAGCTGCTTGACCGCAGACCTCCAGCTCTGTACCTACTCTCATTCCAGAGTCAGGGACAACAGCCACCATGCGGTTTACGAGAAACACAGGTATTCTGAGGTTGGGCTAGGGAACCCTGGGAGGTTTGGTATTCTTCAAAAGCCACTGGAACCAGCAAATCCCACTGACATTTCCCCCTTACCAATTCTGATATACCTTTGGTCTTGAGTCCTAGAAATAAGGTGGTGGCACTGCCTTCTGGGAGCTCTGTCCCTTTTTCCCAAGGAAGCAAACTTGTTGTTTAGCTTGATCTGTGCTGGATGGTGAAGGACCACATTTTCCTCTCATCAATTTAATAGCCTGTCAGCTATAAACGAACAGCTATAAACAGGTCAGTGCTTTCAGTCCTGAAAACAAAAGAGCTCACCTGCAGCTAACAGAATGTTAATTATTTCAATAGAAGCTGGGGTAGGAGGGAGCAAGGGGGCAAGTGAATGGAAGCATGGGGAGGTGTGTGTGTGTGTGTGTGTGCGCGCGAGCGCGGTGCGCGCTCCTGTCTGTTAATCAAGCTGTTCTCACAGGATGCATGACTTTAAGGGTAAAGACAGGTCCAGATAAAGGGAAGTTACAAAGATGACCGAACACTGTCACCTGACTGCTCTGAGGCTCTCAGGGAATGGACACTCAAGCATCCGGATTCTTGGGAGTACCGGGGCTGCTGCCCAGGGGCCATTGATTACAGGCACATCAAACCTCTTTGCTGGGGCAGTGAACATGTCTCTGAGGGACTCCAGACCACAGGCCCTCTGGGTTCAGGTCCTGTTCCACACATGACTCCTTTATCTCCAACAGCCATGAGTGTGCTAAATGTCTTGATAGAGGAGGTCATATTTGGGGATATTCTTGGGATCAATAGGACTCTGGACAATAAGTTTCCCCCTCATTGCTCCCCGGTAGATGACTTCAATCAAATCCATGAAGTCTTGTTTGGTTTTGAAGCTTCCTACAAATTTAGTGTGATCAGGAGACCTGCAGCAGAGAGAGAAATAACCATGGTCAGAGCTTCCCAGTGTGTGAAGCCTGTGTGGTCAGCAGCAGGCAGTGGCCTCTTTCTCCCCTGTTGTCTGGGAGGCTCTCCATCTGTGGCCTGACCACTGCCTCTTCCCAGGTAGAGTACACAGGGCTAAATACAGGGCTGAGATCAAAGGCCTGCTGTGGGGAGACTATCTCTTTATCACGTCCCATCATTACCCTGTACAGGGCTCTGAGTACTGGAGTGGGCAGGGTTGGCTCAGTGTCTCTGTAAAAGCCCATTAGCTCGTCACATCTCTCAAGTTCTCCCCACTGACACTTCTGAGGTGTGGGTATTAATATAATATAACCTACAAATTATCTTAAACATCAGGAATATTGCTTGTAGAAACTTTTAAAAGAAAAACAAAGTCAGCTATGAGGTCAAAAGCCATCTTTTGGATTTATATCCTTTCAGTTCTGTGTGGGGGTGTGTTTCTACATTTTATTAAGATAAAAATCATGTCACAAACAAGTTAATAATGTGGTTCTACAAGTAATATTTGTCCCAGAATTGTAAAATATGCATCTACAATGCACTATTAAACTCCTGAAAATGTAATTACGGGGTTAAAAGACCAAGCACTTCCTGGATTCCAAGTAAGAAGGTTGTACTAAGCTAATATAGTAACTGAATCCTAGGGTAAGCAGCTCCAAGTTCACCTCCACTTGAGAACTGAGAAAGTAGACATACCTCCCCAAAGTAAGGGATAACCACAATCCTAGAGACAGCCAACAGTACTCATATAGGGGCGTGAACAGGATGGGTGGAGGGCATTACAGAAGATACCATGTGACTTATTTTGACAAGCCTTCTTGAAGAATGACTTCAAAATTCTCTGAGTGGCAGAAGACACTTGTAAGAGAGAAATGTGTCTTCCTGGCACCAATGCTTCTTTTGCAAATGCCAACTACCAGCTCCCAAAGCTTAGAAACCAGGGATTATCTTGCAGCAGATTTTTTTTTGGTAAGTTTATATTCTATGCTCAACTAATATTGCTATTCTATATTTTCTATGCCCAAGGATGGTTGGCCAGTACTTCAAAAGCTGTACTGTTTTTCATGTTTAAGTCAGAAATTAAAATTTGTCAATCACACCTGAAACACTCGCACTTTGTGCTAAAGTTTCCCATAAGGAGACAGTATTCACCCACTTGGCCAGACTCAGGGAGTCAACAGAAAAGTAAGTGAGCTTCTGAACCTGCCCTGATAAAACCAACTTTCCAATCTGTAGAGTCAACTTAACTTACCCATAGTCCACTTTCATGTGCTGCCCATTGAAGAAAAATACAGTAGATGGAATATAACTGATGTCAAAGTACTGCGTATAAACTGGAGTGTGGTCCACATCCACCAGGTAAATAGCAGCCATTTTACTTAAGTCAGCAGAGGTCTTTGAGAGCTGTGAATGACAAGATGGATGGAGGTTACACTTTTGTGAAATGTACTAGAATATTGTATGAGAAACTTACTATAACATTTTTTGGGGGAAGAAAAATTTTGTTTAAGAAATACTTGAATCAAGCCTATTTGAATTCCTCATAAGACACCATCTTGGATCTTGCTATGTAGACCAGGCTGGTCTTGAGCTCACATAAGTTCACCTGCCTCTGCCTCTCAAGTGCTGAGATTAAAGTATGCACTGCTGGGCCCAGATAGACATACTGTTGCTGTTTAGAGCGTGGATCCTTGTTGACAGGCTCAGAAGGCACTGTGTGGTGGTTTGAATGGGAATGGTCCCCAGGGGCGCATATATTTGAATAGTTGGTCCCCAGTTGGTAGCACTTGTTTGAGAAGGGTTAGGAGATGTGGCCTTGTTGGAGGAGGTGTGCCACTGTGGACAAGCTTTGAGGCTTCAAAAGCCCATGCTATTCCCAGCTAGCTTTCTTGCTTTCTTGTGTCAAGATGTGAGCTCCTAGCCACTTCTCCAGCACCATGTCTGCCTGCTACCAAGCTCTCTGCCACAATGGTCATGGATTCCAACCCTCTAAACCCATGAGCCCCAAATAAACAGATCAGGGAAAATATTTTCTCCTTTTGTTTTGTTGATGTTTGATTCTTTTTCTTTAGAGATGAATTTTTTCTTTTAAGTTTCATTTATTTGTGTGTGTGCAGGGGCTGGGGGCAGGACAGGCGTATGTATGCGCCAGTGCAAGTGTAGGATCCAGAAGACAATTTGCTGGGGGCAGGTCTCTTCTTCTTAGAGGCAAGAGCCCTTACTTGCTGAGTCATCATTCTCATGGGCTCATGTCTGATTATTTTCAAGAAAGGAATCTATAGTCACTTAGGGTGAGCTGAACAGGAGGTCTAGTTTCAATGCCTGGAACTTCAAAACAAAACTACAGATCCTGACACACCCACCTGCAGCAACTCAGGAACATTCCCATAGATGCTGACTCTCCCTGGCTCTTTCGTCCCAGAAATGGAAGTTAGAGACGTGCCTGATGCCGCCTCCCACGCTAACTACCTTCCGTCCTTTACACTTGTTCGCCCACTGAAGCAGTCAGTGTGTGGGCTGTGCCCACGTAGCACTCCCATTTTACAGGTGAAAAGCTGAGGCCGAGGAGGTAGTGCCTGGACACACAGCTCCTAAGCAGCAGGGGTGGGATTGGAACTTTGGTGCCTTGGTTTCAGAATCAATCAGTCTATATTATTTAATTGTTTTATTGGCACTGGCAGTTGAATTCAGGGCCTTATACTTAAGTGGCAATGGTTCTACCACTGAGCTATACTTCCAGCCTAGAATTTATACTCTTTCCCATAGCTATATATCCATTTCTGATCATCTTCTTCCAAGTTAGTATATCATTCTTACTTATTGACTGGTGTGTGTGTGTGTGTGATGCACTGTGAGTATGGTATACATGGAATCAGAGGACAACTTTCAGGATTCAGTTTTCCCCTTCCACTGTGGGTTCCGGAGACTGAACTCAGGTTGGCAGTCTTGTGCAGCAAGCACTTTCTCTGCTGAGCCATCTCACTGGCTCCACACGTTCACTTTAATGACATAATGCTACTCTGACATTTGTTCCCCAGTCGATGGGTGGAAAGAGGTGTCAGTCCTTGGTTCAATCACCACGGTAAATAAGGACAACAAAACAAAACACAGTAACTCTGTCTTCTAATTTCCCTCGCTACTAATTTGAGTGTGAAGACAAGCTGTGAAACTTGATCTCTCCACCAGAAGCAGCAAACAAGTAGAGTTTTGGCCGCCAGGGAAACAGTCTGGATCCCACTTTACAGCTTCCGCACCCTGGAGGGATTTCTGCAGTCATGGATGTGACTGTTGTGACTGATGAAAGCACAATGTTCAGACACCCAGGGGTGGCATTTCCTGCTCTTCCACTGCCTGAATTTTCAATTAAAGCTGCTCATTCAAAAATTCACTTGTGGGGCTGGAGAGATGGCTCAGTGGTTAAGAGCAGTCACTGGCTGCTCTTCCAGAGGTCCTGAGTTCAATTCCCTGCAACCACATGGTGGCTCACAACCATCTGTTATGAGATCTGTGCCTCTTCTGGTCTGCAGGCATATATGCAGACAGAACACTGTACACATAATAAATAAATCTTTAAAAAATTTACTTATAAAGCCGGGCGTTGGTGGCGCACGCCTTTAATCCCAGCACTCGGGAGGCAGAGGCAGGCGGATCTCTGTAAGTTCGAGGCCAGCCTGGTCTACAGAGTGAGTTCCAGGACAGCCTCCAAAACAATACAGAGAAACCCCGTCTTGAAAAAAACCCCCCCAAAAAATTTACTTATAGCCTAATTCACTTATGGACAGGCAGTGGTGGCACACACCTTTAAACCCAGCACCTGAGAGGCAGAGACAGGCCACACTGGTCTACAGAACAAGTTTCAGGACAGCCAAAGCTACATCGAGAAACCCTATCTTGAAAAACAAAACAAAACCCACTCACTATATCATCCAGCTGTAGACAGACAGGGTCCTCATCCCTTCCAAACCTGAGAACCAACACTTTCTCTGCAGTGCTTTTGATGGCCTGGTCCACTTCTTTCTTGCTAGTCAGTTTGGGCAAGAGGAAGCTCATCTTGAAGAAAATTCCAGTGTTAGTATGCACTACCAGTTCTGCAATGCTTGCAGGCTGTTTAGACGAAGTGTGTGAGTCCTAATATAAAGAACAAAACAACACCATTTAGCATCCGCCATGTTATCAGGTGATTTAAAAGCAAACCTTTCAGGAAAAAAATCTGTGAACAGGCTCCACCCCTGGCTTGCCATCCTTGGGGCCCGGCTTCCAGAACTTCATGCGCCATCCTGAAACACCCACCAGGTAACTGCTTTCAGTAATTTCTCTTAGAAATACATGAGAAATTATGTACCATACCAGAAGAACACACACGTTTCTGTATTTCTCCCCCTTTTACACAAGAGATAGATTGTATTATATATGTCAGTGGTTCAGCAAGCAAGAGATGACATCCTCAAATGTGGGGACTGGAGATTTAGTTAGATCCCAACAGGAAGACCAGGCAAAGCCTTTGACTGCAGAGTGCTGATTAGTCTGTGGAGCTGTGCGCAGCTAAGCAGGGAGGCAGCTGTGCAAAGGCAGATGGGCCTGCCACTAAAGGATGCTGCTGTCCCCACCCTCCACGCCATTGCCTGACTCCAAATGGAACCAGAATTTATGGGAAGTGCTGGGGCAGACAGACTGGAGGATCTCAGCAGTCTAGAGCAGGAGGAGGAGCAGTTGGGAATAGCAGAGGCTCAGTACATATAACCCAGCCATCTTTCTAAACTTTGCATTGTTTTAAATCTAACATTTAGTGAGATTCCCATAGCCCTTACACAGAAAACGTCCAGATTCATCACGGTAGCACACCATTTCATATGTGGACCACACTTTAGTGGTCCTTCATTGCTGGACGTTTGTATTTTCTCATGTCCCCGCTTAAGGCGTCTTCCTAGGTGCACTTTATCACATGGCACACAGACCAGTTATGAGTGTGTGGAGCCAGGTGTCGAGGCTCACCTCTTTGGATCCCAGCACTCGGGAGGCAGAAGCAGGCTGACCTCTGTGAGTTTGAGACCAGCCTGGTTTATAGAGTGAGTTCCAGGACAGCCAGGGCTACACAGAGAAACCCTGTCTTGAAAAACAACAACAAAAAGTGTGTGGAAATCACAATTAAATAAATATTCCAAGATATCACCAAAGGACATATCTGAACACGGACAGGGGATTATTATTTCCACTAAGGGTCTCGCTAAGTATCCCAGGTTGGCTTTGGATTTGTGGCAATCTTCCTGTCTCTGCCTCACAATTGCTGGGATTACAGGAGTGTGCCATCATGCCTGGTAGAGAACTTATTTACATCAGGGCGGATATGTTTACTTTTCAAAATATTTCGCACATGTGTTTTACAAGGTGCGGGTGGTTGGGTTACTCCTGGTCTACAGGAGCCAGGGCACTTAAACCACCTGACAGCAATCCGGACTCCTTCACGGGATAGCCATGGCACAACTGTCTCCTTGCTCAGTCCCGACCCGGGAAAGGACCTTAACCCCAACTAACCTGGACTGTTGCTTAGAAACCCTTCTTTGGCCCGCAAACGCACACAAGCGGAAGTGAGAAACACGGACGCAGAAAATGAACGTCTCACCGCGCGTCCCAGTCAATAGCCCAATAAGCAGACGACATTATTATAGTTCTCGCCCACTTGGCACCACCCCAACAGGAAGCTATGTCATTTCCGCCCTTAGTAAATATGGCCTATCTCGGTCTGTCTTACCTCTCACGCCTACAGGCCAGAGGCGGGGTGTCAGCTATCACTCTAAGCACGATTGGTCGCGAGGAATCCTGGGGCCCAGAGGAAGACACCGCGGCTTTGAAGGCGTGTTCACGTTGTTTCTCTCCGGCCTCCAGGAATCTTAGATTTCTGGGCTACTCTCGATGGTATTTTTTGACGGATAGAGCATCCCGCGCAGGGCATTGTGGGACAATGATGGCCGCTTTCAAACAGCGAAATTTACCTCTTTGAGACCGTCAGGCTGAGCAGTGTTCGCGCTGGCGTCCCCAAATCAGTGGCAGACGGTCCCGAGAGTCGTGCCTGGTGAGGTGAGCATCTCTTCCTCTCCCCAGATCCGTCCTTCGCCCGCCATGGCGGCTCCAGGCGGCCGGGGTCGGTTCGCGGCTTAGGTTTTGGGCCCTGGTTTCAGAGTTCCTCCTGTCCTTGTGACCCAACTTTCTCTACTCACTTAAGCGGTCTTGACTTTGTCCCTGCTATGGCCACATCCTGGTGTTTGGGAACGGCCCCTAACCTGTTACCCGGTTCCTGGAGAGCTTGGATAGGGCTCCCGGTGCCTTCCTCCTGTCTCCCCGAAGTGTCTCCATTGCATCTGGTGGTCAGTCTATAAGTAGAATGCTAACCGCAAAGGGCAGGGAGCTTTTGTTTTTTAAAATCGGTATTGTTGAGAACAATTGACACAAGGACACATGCAATTGCTGCCCAAGAAATCCATTGTGCCTCGTTAGCTACGGATCCTTCTCCATAACCTGGCCCTGGAGTTCCTTGCTTGCTATTTTGAGCGGACTATTAAATCCTTCCTTGTCCTGTGTTGTGGATAACTTCTTGTTATCCAGAGAAATGTTTGAGTTTTTGTTCCCTTTTAATAAGATATTTATTCACTTGTTATAGCAATCAATAAGACAGACAGCCCCTCGCTTGTATAGAAATGGCATTTTAGGGCATAGGTCACCATTCAGGTAACTGGCGTCTGCGTACCTCAGGCTTCCTGTCTGGATTTCCTCATATGTGTTTAGATGTAACTTTCTTTTCTTGTTCCACCTGATGAAATTTCCAAATGAAACTCTTGTTTGTTCATCCACACCGAGTTGCAGTACTCCTTGGTAGTGCTATACATGTCCTTTAGAACATGGCAAAAGAAGTTTAGATTCCAGAGGTACAGATCCTATGCTTTAACGACTTATTGGAATGAGACTAATTATCTGTGTGTCCAGCATAGGTTCATGGTGTTAGGTAAAGATGAATGTGTTATCAGCTGGGAACCCATGAGATCTTGCAGTCTCTTAAACACTTTCCTGAAATGCCATTTCCTTAACTTAGCGTTTCTCATAAGTAAGTTTGGTGAATGCAGATTCTTATTCAAGAGATTTTGCCTTTTTGCCTGCTATGGGGAGCTTTTTTTTTTCTTCTTTTGCACAAAACACTACTGATTACAACAAAAGTCACCAAGTGTATAGAATATGGATGGTAAAATTATGCCCTTACACTTATACTCTCTAGAACCTGTGGTTCAAAGGGGTTGGGGATGGGTGGGTAGAAGAATGTATATATGTATATAAGATATTAGAAATTAGTAAGGAAACTAGTCAGTATATAGGAGCATAATAGCAAATGCACACAAATGAACAACTATGGTTCATGTGCAGTGGTTAGATTCTCAGAGTGGTTCTGTGGATTGTATAGAGAAGTAATAGCTAACCAAGGTCGCTGCTTACTCTCACAGAAGCAGAAAATGCCAAGAGCCTGGATACATACATACATATTTTTATGTCTGTTACTAAAGAAGCTCACATGAAAAAGGCAAGCATGTTTGGTTGATGTTTGGAGGCAGTAAGCCAGTGGGGATGGTAAAGATGATGATGGTGATTCTTAAGTGGGAGAAAGTATATCCTGTAGAGGGTGAAATTACAGGAGAATAAATTAGATAATGGGTAGGGGAAAAATATATGAGCGAGGGCCATGGGTATGAATTAATATCTCACTAAACAGTCTAGCTGGTGTGAAATTCACTATGTATCTCAGGTTAGCTTCAAATTTGCCTTCCTCTGGAGCCTCAACCTCTTACCTGCTAAGATTACAGGTATGAATCACCATACGTAGGGCCAGAAACTGGATTTTAATTGAGGTTTCTGACTTACATCTAGTTCCCCCTCTAGTCCCTTTGTAGATGCCATTGTATTCCAGTAAGAAGCCTTTACTGAAGTTTATTGTCTGGATGATACCCTCTTGATCCTATGGCTTGCTCTGTGTATATGTGTCTCTGTGTCTTTCGTATATGTTGGGGTGGGACCTGGGAAGCTTTTTGAGATTGTCACTTACACTTGGTGGGAAAGTCTTTGGAAGTAGCAAAGGGGGCTGGAGAGGTGGCTCAGTTGGTAAAGTGCTTTCTCACAAGCATGAGGACCCGAGTTCAGATCCCCAGAACCCATGGGAAAGTCATGAGTAGAGGTACTTGTGTGCGGAAGAGGCAGACACAGGCAGATCCCAGGAGCTTGCTGACCCACTAGCTTGGCTGAATTTACTCTCAGTTCAGTGAGAGACCCTGTCTCAAAAAGTGAGTAAGGGAACAAATGAGAAAAACACCTGACATTGACCTCTGACCTCATGTGCACACAGTGCCTGTGTACCTGCATGAATTCTCTCTCTCTCTCTCTCTCTCTCTCTCTCTCTCTCTCTCTCTCTCTCTCTCTCTCTCTCTCTCTCTCTCTCTCTCTCTCTCTCTCTCTCCCCCCCCATAACAGGAGATACCCTGGGCTCAATGTAGAGAGGTAGGAGTAGCTAGTTAAATATACTGGTTATTCTGGGGTACAGTAGAATTGAATTTTCTTATGCTCAAATCTAATGCTTCCTGTTCCTTCCAGAGGAATAAGAGCCTGTGATGGAGGACACTTGTGAGGACGCCTCCATCCATCGGCTGGAAGGCACCGATCTGGACTCTCAGGTTGGTGGTCTTATTTGCAAGACCAAAAGTGCAGCCAGCGAGCAGCATGTCTTCAAAGCCCCTGCTCCTCGCCCTTCATTGCTCGGACTGGACTTACTGGCTTCTCTGAAACGGAGGGAACGAGAAGAGAAAGATGATGGGGAGGACAAGAAAAAGTCCAGAGTCTCTTCTTACAAAGACTGGGAGGAGAGTAAGGATGACCAGAAAGATGCCGAGGAGGAGGGCGATGAGCAGGCAGGCCGGAGTGGCCGCAAAGACAGGTAAGCAAAGAGGTAAACATTGGTGTCAGAAAATAGTAGCCCAGGTTCATCTCAGTTCCTGTTGGACACCTAAGAGCTTTAGGATTTTATTGTGTTTCTGTAATACTGGCGGTGGGTAGGAATTGGTAAAGATTTGTGGGGAAAATTCAAAGGCATCTAAGAATTGGTGATGAAGTTTAAACGCCTGGGTTCTTGCCATGTATAGGCCTTCAGCACCAGGGAGATGCAGCGGAGAGGACGTTGCTTGTTGGCATACCCAGAGGTAGAGGAAAATGCTTTCTTCCATGGAAGCCCTGTCCCAGCTGATCTCCCTGTTTCAGGCATTACCGATCTGCTCGGGTAGAGACTCCGTCCCACCCCGGGGGTGTGAGTGAGGAGTTTTGGGAACGCAGTCGGCAGAGAGAGCGGGATCGGAGGGAGCATGGTGTCTATGCCTCATCCAAAGAAGAAAAGGATCGGAAGAGGGAGAAGTCCCGGGATCGAGACTATGACCGCAAGAGAGATAGAGGTAAACTACCTGTCACCAGTTCTGCTGCCCATCAGCATTTGAACCAGCAAGCCATTCTTTCCCTGGTGCAAGAACTTTTACAATAATGCTCATTAATTGCTGGTAATGCAACTGCTTGCTTTGCTTGAGTATGTGGTTCTTGTTTTATTGTGGAAACTGGGGATAAAGAAAATGATGGGTAATCTATTTAAGAAACCAGAGTTTAGTGTAGCATTGGTGATGGAGAAAGGACAGTTCAGCACTAGCCTTGATCATTATTGTCTGTAGCTGAGGTCTGCTACACCACAAAATTCTTGTCTTTTGATTCTTGTTGTGTGTTTGGCCCTTTCTATTCAATGAGAGGATGTGAGTCCTTGGATGATGGGAGTGTGTGGTGGGGTGCATCTGTGCTTGGGGAGGTGTGTGCTTTCTGCCCATGGGTGTGTGTTAGCTTGGGGTATACAGTTTTGAGCCCCATTTGTGACTCTCGGCAGATGAGCGGGACAGAAGTAGGCACAGCAGCAGGTCAGAGCGAGACGGAGGCTCAGAGCGCAGCAGCAGAAGAAATGAGCCAGACAGTCCTCGGCATCGGCCAAAAGGTACCTGAGCGTCCTCTGTGGTGGCAGAGTGAGCTGAGTGGTCAGGCGGTGAGTTGGAGGTTCTGACTATAGTGTGACCCTCTGGAGTTAGGGGGCCTGAGCAAGATGGGTGTGGTCGTGCCCCTCACTTGGGTGGATGTGCTTCCCAAGGGGATAGGCTGTTTGCTGCAAAGCAGGCGTTTCAGATGTCAGGAAACTAGAGATGTGGTGGGTCAAGAAGGATTTATTGGAAAAGAACTATTTGTTTTTAAGATGAAGAGGTTCGCAGAGAGGAATTGATTCCTGCAGCATTGTTTTAAACTGTGAAAGCTGAACTGTTAAATTCAGTCTCTATAAACATTCTCATCACTAAAAAAAAAAAAAGAAAAAAAATTTCATCCCTGCCACCTTAATCCCAGCACTTGGGAGGCAGAGACAGGTGGATCTCTGTGGATTTGAGGCTAGCCTGGCCTACAAAGCTACACAGAGAAGCCCTGTCTTGAAAAACAAGACAACAACACAATTCTCACCACTGTCTTATCTACAGCAAATAAACACAAGGTAATGAAACAGGGCACTAAGCAAGTGGCAGCTGTCAGGCCGGGTGAAACTTCATGATCTGAGTTTATTACCAGGACCCACATGG